ATTAGTATAGTATACAAATAATATATTAGTATAGTATAGTATACAAATTATTAATTTTGTAATTTATATACAATGAAAATAATATAATGGTATATTAGTATAGTATAGTATATTTGTATTCTAATTTTTAATTAAATTAAAATTATGCTAATAATGTATATTAATATATGAGGGGATAATATTGATATATTGATATATTTGTATATATATATATATATATATATATATATATATTTATATATATTGATATATTGATATATTAATATATTAATATATTTATATATTTATATTTTTATATTTTTATATTTTTATATTTTTATATATTTATATATTTATATATTGATATATTTATATATTTATTTATATCCTTATACATTTATATCTTTATATATTTATATATTTGAAAAAAAATATTAAATTTTAAAAATAATATTATATTTTTAAAAATAAATATTAGAAAAAGATTTAAAAATATATATAAATTATATTTACATTTACAAAATATTAAAGATATATGTTTATATCTTTACATATTTTTATATACATTTATATGTTTATATTTTTACATATCTTTACATATCTTTACTAACAGCGGTTGCACCATCGCTCGAGCGAGATTATAGTCGCTCAAGCGAAATACAACCCGAGAATGTCAATTTTGTGCAGGGGACGTTTCGCTCAAGCGATATACATTTTAGATAGCGGTTAGAAGGGGAACCGCTCTTAAAAGCTGACTTAGATAGCGGTTAAATTGAAACCGCTATTATATGGTTTCAATTATGATCGGTCAGAATGCGGTTATGACCGATCATAATTAAAACTTACATTAACTATTTTTTTATATTATGTTTTTAAATTTTCTATTAGAGAAAACCTTTCAGAATTTAAAATGTTAAATACTTTTAAATATTAAAATTAACTTTATAAAAAATTAGGAAAAAAAATTAATCCAAAAGAGTTCAAAAATGTATTATAATATTGTCAATTTTGAGTTTAATTATATTGTTCATTCTCAAAGGAGAAAAATATATTGTAATTATTTTAATTTAATAAAATATAATTTAAAATTTTAATACTAAAATTAAAAGATTAGATAATAATAAATTTAATTCTTTAAATTCGAGTAGCTAGAAACTAAAATTATAGTTTCTCTGTTTGAAATAATTAAAATAAATATTTAAAAATAAAAATCAAAACTAGTATTATCTTAAATTTATTAAAAGTGTAATTAAATCTCTATTTTCTTAATTTTATTTGTTTCAAACTTCTCAATTCTACATTTTTGTAAGTTCTATCATTATATTATCATCCTCATCTCCTCCCATGTTCTACTTTATCTTTACAATAGTCAATATTCTTAACTAATTTATAGTTTTAATTATAATTTTTTAGTATATATTTCAGAAATTAATCAATTCTAATCTATTATTTGAAAAACTAATCAATTCTAATCAATAATTTAGAAAACTAATTGATTATAATTAATTATTTGAAAAAATTATCAAATATGATCGATCATTTTGAAAATATAATCGATCAGAACCGGATTTCGCTTGAGCGAGAGTAGTCTCGCTCAAGCGAAATACACTTCAGATATCGTCTAAGCCTTAACCGCTATCTAATATACACTTTAGATAGCGGTTATAAGCGAACCGCTATTATATCCTCTCAACTATGATCGATCATTTCATGTTATGATCGATCAGGATCGTATTTCGCTCGAGCGAGAGTAGCGTCGCTCAAGCGAAATACAACCCGAGAATGCGAATTCTATGCAGGGGGCGTTTCGCTCGAGCGAGAATATTGTCGCTCAAGCGAAATACATTTTAGATAGCGGTTCCACAAGAACCGCTCTTAAAAGTGCACTTCTAATAGCACTTAACCATTAACCGCTATCTTAATTATACTTTAGATAGCGGTTAAGGTGGAACCGCTATCATATCTTCTCAATTATGTTTTGCAAAATGCCTCTACAAATGTTTTTAACAATTAAAAACAAAGTATTTTGACAAAAGCTTTCTCAAATGCCTCTACAAAGTATTTTTTACAATTATATTGAGTTTAATTCTACAAATTAAAAGATTAAATAATAATAAATTTAATTCTTTAAATTCAGTAGCTAGAAACTAAAATTATAGTTTATCTGTTTTAAATATTTAAAATAAATATTTAAAAATAAAAATCAAAACTAGTATTATCTTAAATTTATTAAAAGTGTAATTAAATTTCTATTTTCTTATTTTTATTTGTTTCAAACTTCTCAATTCTACATTTTTGTAAGTTCTATCATTATATTATCATCCTCATCTCCTCTCATGTTCTACTTTATCTTTACAATAGTCAATATTCTTAACTAATTTATAGTTTTAATTATACTTTTTTAGTATATATTTCGAAATTAATCAATTCTAATCAATAATTTAGAAAACTAATCGATTATAATTAATTATTTGAAAATATTATCAAATATGATCGATCATTTCAAAAATATAATCGATCAGAATCAACTATCGCTCAAGCGAAATACAACCCGAGAGTACTAATTTTGTGCAGGGGCGTTTCGCTCGAGCGAGAATGTTGTCGCTCAAGCGAGATATAGTTTAGATAGCGGTTACACAGGAACCGCTCTTAAAAAATCACTTAGATAGCGGTTAACCCTTGAACCGCTATTATATGGTTTCAATTATGATCAGTCAGAATGCGTTTATGACCGATCATAACTATTTTAATCGATTAAATATCGTTTCAATCGATTAAAACAGATTCTGCAAAGCGTTTTAATCGATTAAAACTTATTTTTATCAGTTAAAATAACTTGAAAAGTTTTAGGAGAAAGTTTTGCAGTATTTCAATCGATTGAATCGCGAAACAATCGATTAAATCAACTTAGAAGATTTTTTGTAAAGTGTTTTAATTGATATAAACGTTGTCGTATCAGTTAAAACAAATCATTAAAGAATCAAGAACGTATTAATGGATTAAAAGAAGTTTTAACAGATTAAAACTGCACTTTTAACAGATTAAAAGAATCTTTTAACAGATTAATTAAACCAGATAGTTTTGAAAATCTTCTATAAAAACAGTTTGGCTTGAACTTTTTTAACATACATTGAATATATCATCTTTAAAAAATAAATAAATTTATATATATATATATATATATATATATATATATTTGCATTTTAATTTTCAAATATTAATTTTTTTATGAAATTAATTTTAATTAAAAAAATTAAAGTGATATATATATATATATATATATATATATATATCCAACTATTAAATTATTCAAGATATTAATATAAATTTAAAATATCAATTCAGTAATTAAAATAATTTTAATTTTTTATAAATACATTGAAATACATTTTTATTAACATACAAGTAATATATATATATATATATATATATATATATATATAAAGAGACTAAATTAATAATTAATTTAATTATTGATTTAGTGACCGATTCGAGTGATCGAATCGAGTGACCGATTCGATGGACCGAATCGAGTGACCGATTCAGTGACCGATTCGAGTGACCGAATCGATGACCGAATCGAGTGACCGATTCGGTGACCGAATCGATGACCGATTCGGTGACTAATTTAATAATCAATTTTCATTTTTTTATTCACATGCTAAATAAAAAAATAAAATCAAATAATTATATTACTAAATTATTTAATAAGTTAGTAAACATTTTTTTAAAATATTTATAATGTTATTAAAAATGTTATCAATTATTTTAAATTATTAAGTAAATTTATATTTAAAATATTTTAAATAAAATATTTATATAAATGAAAAATAGTTATCAGTTTAAAAATTATTTTTTTAGTGACTCGAAATTTTAGTCACTAAATCGAGTTACTAAATATAAAAAAAATTAATAATTACATAAATTAAATATAGATTAATTAAAAAAATAAATTAAATAATAGAGTGACTAAAATAGTAACCGATTTTATGTGACCGAAAATTCGGTTACTATTTCGGTTACTAGACTAAAAAATAATAATTTGGTTACTGATTCGGTCACTAATAGTAACTAAATTTTTCGGTCATTGATTTCGGTTACTATTTGACATTTTTCTAGTAGTGTGTAATCATTGATCTACTCCATGAATGGTAATTACTGGAGTCAAGAATAGGTGACACTAAAGTTGTGGCAGGATTCTCTCCGGGGTGTAAGTAAAGAAAATTATAAATATTGGGTGTTTGATTTGATGCTTCAGCCATGATGAAAAAGGGGTAGAAAGAAAACGCAGCAGAGCTCTTCAATGGAAGAGCTCTGATACCATAATAAAATTCATAAAAGGAAAGACGATATATATACACAGAAAGAAGCAAACGATAGTAAAAGAATGATCAACAATTGCATTTCTATCTATTTTATTATTGAAGTATGGTGGAATATATACAGAGAGAAGGAAAGCAGAGAGGGAGAGAGTAACAGAAAGATACATCGTAACAGAAAAGATATTACAAAGAAAAAGACGTAAAACAGAAAAGAAACACGTAAAATACATAAGGACGTAAAACACGTAAAAAGCATGATGCTGACGTAAAACACATGATGACGTTAAGAGTAATTGTTACACATCTTACATATATTTATACTAACTCTATTTCTAATGATTTGTTTCAAAAATATTAAATCAATTACTTTTATCATTAACATAATTTACTAATTTTTTAATCATATTCAAAAGTATAGTTATTGTTATGAATAGTTTACTAGAATGGAACTGATTCTAGTGCCACCATTTTTTTACCATTGGTGGAAGAAGCGGGGAAGAATCTTAATAAATAATTTGAGTAAGGCATGATAGTAACAGCACCTGCCTATGCCACAATTACTTTTCATTTTCTATAATTTTAATAGCTTCGTAGAATGCGAAGTGGAAAAATAAAGTGCCACCATCGTCCACGCTTTGATTTTTTATCTAGACATGCTTCTCCTCAATTTGCATCTTCTCAACAACTTTGCTTCCACTTATGCCAATTGCAATGGCTTCTTCATCTCAGCTCATCAAGACTTATGATGTCTTTGTGAGCTTCCGTGGTGAAGACACGCGCAACAACTTTAATGGTTTTCTCTTTCAAGCTCTTTGCAGAAAAGGCATCCATGCCTTCAAAGATGATGATGATCTCAAGAAAGGCGAATCCATTGTAAAACATAATGTAATTTTCCTACTTTCTTAATTCATTATAGAAAACTACTCTACAGGATCTTTAGATTATTGATTTTCACAATTTTGCATACATCAATACATGAATCATAGTAAGAAAACTAACCTTGATCCATGAGAATCTTTTCTTGATCTTTTCGTTCTCCAATCTCCTTTTCCCAATCTATCTCTTTGCCTTTCTTTCTCTTCTCACGCTTCGCTTTCTTGATGGTTTATCGTGAAAAAACCTTATGGCCAGAGACAGAACCCTAATCCCTTTTATTAACCAACGTTCATCGAGTTGGTTACTTTCAGTTAATATTTTATTTTATCTTTATTTTATTCTGACTTCACATAATAACCAATAGGTCCTCTTAGTTATTAAATCACATTTGGGCCCTTTATTATATTTCACATGAGTCACATAATGGAATGAATTAATAAAAAATTAATTCTAACATTCTCCCACTTGATTCATGTGATGTCATACGATTCTGTAATTTAATACTTAAGTCATAATGCACATTAAAGGACCTTACATAAATTGATTCTATCATTATTCATAATTAAAGATACAGCTATAACAAGAGTCATGGCGGTTACATATCATTCAATCGACAGGCTCCCTTCCATGTACCACTATATTATCTCTTTCTCCTTAATATGACTTTATAATGAGAAGTCCATAATGGGTTCAAACATAATATCATTTTAAAATAATAACATAATTTGTTTTCTTCATCATAATTTGCATGCATATAAATAAAGAAGAAAACACAAATTTCAGAAACTTATACATTAAAGATCTCAGAGTGTCACATAAACATTAATAATAACATTAACATTCAACATTCATTACTAGTAAACATAATGCCCATATTTACTATATGGGCAGCAAACAACTTGGGCGGTAATCCCTTTGTTAAAGGATCAGCAATCATAAGATCAGTGCTAATATGTTCTATTGACACTCTTTGTTTCTGAACTTCTTCTTTAACGGCAAAGTATTTCAATTCCATATGCTTAGCACCTTTGGAATACCTGTCGTTCTTAGAAAAGAAGACTGCTGCGGAATTGTCACAATAAATTTTCAGCGGCTTGGCAATGCCGTCGACTACTCCAAGTCCTGAAATAAAATTCCGCAACCAATTAGCTTGAACTGTGGCCTCAAAGCATGCCACAAATTCAGCTTCCATAGTGGATGCAGCAATGACAGACTGCTTCGCACTTTTCCATGAAATCGCTCCTCCGGCTAAAAGATACACATAACCAAATGTAGACTTTCGTGTATCCATACAACCAGCAAAATCTGAATCTGTATATCCAATCACCTCAAGGTGATCAACTTTCCTATAAGTAAGCATGTGATTCTTTGTTCCTTGTAAGTATCTCAAAACTTTCTTTGCAGCCTTCCAATGATCCAGTCCAGGATTACTCTGGTATCTACCAAGCATACCAACTGCAAAGCTAATATCTGGCCTCGTACATGTTTGAGCATACATCAAACTCCCAACAACAGATGCATAAGGGATATTTTCCATATGTTTCCGTTCCAAGTCATTCTTTGGACATTGCATAAGACTAAATCTGTCTCCTTTCTGTATTGGAACGGGAGATGCTAAACACTTCTCCATTCTGAATCTCTCTAAAACTTTATTAATATATGCTTTTTGAGACAAACCTAACAGTCCTTGTGATCTATCACGGAATATTTCTATTCCTATCACATAGTATGCCTCACCCATATCTTTCATTTCAAAGTTGTTAGAGAGAAACTTCTTAGTCTCACTTAATAGACCAAGATCATTAGTCGCAAGCAAGATATCATCAACATACGGAATCAGAAATATAAACTTACTCCCACTTGACCTTCGAGATATATACACCGATCAACGAGTGTTTTCCTTAAATCCAAAGGACAAAATAGTATCATTGAACTTAAGATACCATTGTCGAGAAGCTTGTTTAAGTCCATATATTGATTTCTTAAGTTTACACACCATATGTTCCTTTCCTTCTTCAATAAACCCCACTGGTTGATTCATATAAACATCCTCCTCTAAATCTCCATTCAGAAAAGCAGTTTTAACATCCATTTGATGCAACTCAAGATCATAATGAGCTACTAATGCCATGATAATTCTAAAGGAATCTTTCTTAGAAACAGGTGAAAATGTTTCCTTATAATCAATGCCATCTTTCTGAGTAAAACCTTTGGCAACAAGTCGGGCCTTGTAACGTTCGATATTGCCATGAGAGTCACGCTTAGTCTTAAAGACCCATTTACACCCAACACTCTTACATCCTTCTGGCAATTCCACAAGATCCCATACACCATTCTGTGTCATTGATTTAAGCTCATCTTTCATAGCATCTAACCATTTATCAGAATTATCATCATTAATGGCATCTGAAAATGAAACTGGGTCATTATCAATACTTAGGTCATTTTCTGACTCTTGTAGATAAACCACGTAATCATTCGAAATAGCAGACTTTCTTTCTCTGTGAGATCTTCTTAATACTATTTCCTGTGGTTGTTCTATTATCGGATCATTGTTTATCTCGGGATCATTAATTTGTTGTTCTTCTTGATTGTCGTGTGATTCTACAACATTTGGAACAACAACTCTTGAAGATGTACTAGTTATTGGAACTTGTACTCTAACTTCCTTAATCTCCACATTTCGTGAAGCTTCACTCCCACTTGGTTTCACCATTTTCAATGAACCAGAGCATTTCCAGTTTCAACAATTCTTGTACTATGAGTAGGACAGGTAAAACATATACCCCTTTGATTTTTACTGGATAACCAATGAAATATCCACTGATTGTTCTTGCATCCAGTTTCTTTTCTTGCGGATTATAAGTTCTTACTTACGCACGACAACCCCAAACATGTAGGTGTCTTAAACTGGGTTTCCTACTTGTCCATAACTCAAAAGGAGTCTTTTGAACAGCTTTACTAGGAACCCTGTTCAACAAATACATGGCGGTCTTCAAAGCATACATCCACAATGATACGGGTAAACATGAATTACTCAACATACTCCTAACCATATCCATTAAGGTTCGATTACGCCTTTCGAGACACACCATTTTGTTGCGGTGTGCACGACATTGTGTATTGAGCACAAATACCACGCTTCTCGAGGAACTTAGCAAACGGACCAGGGTGTTGTCCACTTTCATCATATCTTCCATAATACTCACCACCTCTATCGACCTGACAATTTTCACCTTTACGTCTAATTGCCTCTCCACTTCGTTTATATAACTTTCTAAGGCATTTACTTGCTTGAGATTTCTCATATAGTAAATAGACATATCCATAACGCGAGAAATCGTCAATGAAAGTGATGAAATACTTCTCTTTATTAAAAGAATTTACGTCAAATGGACCACATATATCAGTGTGTATGATTTCAAGAAGTTGAGTGCTTCTTGTGGCTCCTTTCTTTGTGTGTTTTGTTTGTTTACCTTTAATACAATCCACACATACATTCAGATCGAGTAAAATCTAAATCCGGAAGGATTTCATTCTTTACTAATCTTTGCATTCTTTCTTTGGAAATATGTCCCAAACGCTTATGCCACAAATAAGCGAGATCTTTCATCCACCAAACTACGTTTAGTGCCAACATTATGATGCAAGGTCATGAGAGTTTCGAGCATATAAATTATCCAAATTCAATTTATATAAACCATCATAAAGTGTACCGAGTTCCAATCATACATATACGCTTAAATAAACTGAAACAACTATTCCCAAACTTAAAAGAGTATCCAGCAACATCAAGCTTAGACAAAGAAACTAAATTTCTAGTGATACTAGGTACATAAAAAGTATCCATAAGGTCTAAGTGATATCCAGTGTCAAGGATTAAACGATAAGTCCCGACAGCTTCCACTGGAACCTTGACTTTATTCCCCATGAAGACGAACTTCTCATTTGGGTTTATGGTTCGGGTTGAAAGGAATCCCTGCATCACATTAGAAACATGAGTTGTACATCCAGAATCAATCCACCAAGTATTATGGGGAACTTCAGTTAAATTTGATTCAAAACATACGTAAGCACTATGCTCACCTTTCTTTTCGAACCAAGCTTTGCGCTTTAAGCAGTCCTTCTGAAAATGTCCAGACTTCCCGCAGAAATGACATTTGTCATTTTTCTTCTGAATGTTAGTAGAGGACTCGTTAATCTTTAATGGTCCTTTACCCTTTCCATGTTTCTTAACAACTTTCTTTTTAGCTCCTTGATTTTTCACGTAATGAATAGAGTGGCTTCCTAGGTTCTTGAGTCTGGTCTCCTCCTGGACTAACATACTATGCAATTCATGCACATTCCATTTGTCTTTCATGGTGTTATAGTTCATCTGAAACGGACCATACTCAGGCGGTAATGAGTTCAAAATGAACTGCACAAGGAAATTTTCTTCCACTGCCATTCCAAGAGACTTCAGTCTTGCTGCGATATTTGTCATTTCGATTACGTGTTCATGCATACTACGAGAACCATCAAACTTCATGGTGGTCAACGTACTCATCAATGTCCCAGCGAGGGATTTGTCAGCAGTTTGAGAGCGCTCTTCCACAAATTTCATGAACTCTTTCGCATCCTCAGTTTTGGGAAGAGCAGACTTAATATTGCTTGCTACACTCATTCGCATAAACATAAGGCTAAGTCTGTTTGATCTTTCCCAAGCTCTATAATGAGTTTTTTCTTCATTACTACTAGCATCGGTGATAGCAGTAGGTTTTTCAACTTGGAAAGCCAAATCAAGATCCAACACACCTAAGTGAAATTGGACTTGTTCACTCCGAGTCGAGGAAATTTAACCCATTAAAGACTGGAACAGACGAAGATAGCGAATGCAGAGCTACGAGAACGAGATACTTGCAATTACCACATGCCTAACATTAATACTTTGAGTCATAAAATTAAACATAAATACAGATTCAACCATAAATTACCATTCTCTGCATACTAATGTTCTCCTTTGGGAGATCCACCAATACACAAACATAATTACGCTAATCATTTTATAACATTAATGATAATTAAAATATGCATCAACTAGAATCACCTAATACCTTTGGGTATATAAATAAAACTAGTGACGCATAGAAAATTATCTACTTTCATGTTCATTAATTATAATAACAATTAATCAACCTTTGGGTGATCCTAAAATGTCTTATAATAATGAACTTCAATTAACCCATAAATCAATTATTCAAAATTTTAGCGTTCATACTATGGGTAATTGAAATAAAATCACTAATAATTTGAAATTAAAATAACCTTAAAATTTTGGCCACTTTGGTGACTAACAAAATTTATCATACTTAATTTCAAATAAAATAATAACTTTAATTATTATTAATCATTTATAATATTTTCTATTATTATTTATTTATTTATTTAGCAATAACTAACCATAATTCATTCACGTATCCTATTTTGACCTCCACATTAACATTTACGTTTCATCTCATTTTATGCAACTCGCGCACCTAATATGCAACTGCGCACGTTGACGCACGTTGGCGCACCTAATATGCGTCATTTTATGCAACTGGCCCACGTAATATGCACTCCCAACGTTATGAGCATCTAATTTTCTGTGCAGGTAAGGAACTGGCCCACGTAATGCTTAGGTGCAATTGTTGCAAACTGGCCCACGTAACTGGCGCGCAGGTAAGGAACCCTTGGCATGTTTGCAACAATTTGCGCATCTAATTAATATGCAACTGGCGCACAACATTTTAATCAAATACATGAACTCCTTCAATTGCCCAGGTCCCTCATTTTGATCCATCATTAATTGATTGCAGCGAAATTAATTACATTATCAAAACTATTATTGACGCCAAACACTAAAATACGTAATTTTTCTTTTCAATTAACAGGATTGTTTAACCATTGAAACACATAAATTATCAAATTGATTCAATTTGAAATTAAATACAACTTTATTCATAAATTAGGGCTTATCTTTTTATTCAATTTGGGAAAAACATATTATGGGAATAAATTAGGGTTCATGCTAATATAATTGAAAAATCCCTAAATTCATAATTAGGGTTAATCTTAATTTGAGAAAAACATAATTTGGGAAAAATTATCATAAGAGGAAAATCATAAATCTAAGAAACCTGCTCTGATACCACATGTAAAACATAATGTAATTTTCCTACTTTCTTAATTCATTATAGAAAACTACTCTACAGGATCTTTAGATTATTGATTTTCACAATTTTGCATACATCAATACATGAATCATAGTAAGAGAACTAACCTTGATCCATGAGAATCTTTTCTTGATCTTTTCGTTCTCCAATCTCTTTTTCCCAATCTATCTCTTTGCCTTTCTTTCTCTTCTCACGCTTCGCTTTCTTGATGGTTTATCGTGAAAAAACCTTATGGCCAGAGACAGAACCCTAATCCCTTTTATTAACCAACGTCCATCGAGTTGGTTACTTTCAGTTAATATTTTATTTTATCTTTATTTTATTCTGACTTCACATAATAACCAATAGGTCCTCTTAGTTATTAAATCACATTTGGGCCCTTTATTATATTTCACATGAGTCACATAATGGAATGAATTAATAAAAAATTAATTCTAACATCCATAGCCCCTGAGTTGCTACAAGCCATTCAAGGGTCTCGCCTTTTCCTCACTCTCTTCTCAAAAAACTATGCTTTCTCTACTTGGTGCTTGCGTGAACTAGCAGAGATCTGTAACTGCGTTGAAACGTCGCCAAGACGTGTTATACCTATATTTTATGATGTTGATCCTTCAGATGTGCGAAAACAGAGTGGGTGTTATGAGAGAGCATTTGCAGAACACGAAGAAAGATTCAGAGAAGATAAAGAAAAGATGGAGGAAGTGCAGAGATGGAGAGAAGCTCTCACTCATGTGGCCAATCTCTCTGGTTGGGATATAAGAAACAAGTAATCCCTTCTCATTTTTTCTTAACAGATCTTAATCTTAATTTATTACACATGCGCCGAGCCATAGCATATGCATTTATTTAATGATTTCATACTCATGTATTTTTCTCATATTTATTGTCCCTTATCTAAACTGGATTTGTGGGAGGTTGAAGAGTTAAGATGCAAATTAGGTCTCTATATATGTATTATATATGTTTAATGTAAAGTCCTTTAAAAATAAAATCTCTTCTTTGTTATCTTTCCTATATATGTACAATCTATTTTCATTCTCTTGCTAATGATGAGAGAAATTGTTCATTTTTATTTTTTATTTTTGAATTTCAGGCAACAATATGCAGAAATTGAACAAATTGTTCAAAACATAATAAATATACTGCGTCCCAACTTATTAAGTCTTCCAAATGATGATCTAGTTGGGATAGAGTCTCGGATTGAAGAATTAGCAAATGTTCTATGTTTGGAGTCAGTTGATGATGTTCGAGTTGTTGGCATTAGTGGGATGGGTGGCATAGGAAAAACAACTCTTGCTCGCGCTTTATATGAAAGATTCTCTCGTCAATATGATTTTCATGGTTTTATTGATGATGTAAGCAAAATTTATCGGGATTCAAGTTCGTTAGGTGTACAAAACACTAGTACAGAAAACACCTTTAACATCGGTTCTTAGCAGCTTTCTACATCGGTTCTAGAACCGATGTAGATACAACCGATGTAGAAAGTTGGTGAGTTTTAACATCGGTTAAGAACCGATGTAGAAAGTCTGACTTTCCACATCGGTTCTAGGCCATAACCGATGTAGAAAGTCGACTTTCCACATCGGTTATAGCTATAACCGATGTGGAAAATCGGACTTTCTACATCGATTATGGCCTAGAACCGATGTGGAAAGTATTAAAAATCACTTTCTACATCGGTTATGGCCATAACCGATGTGGAAAGTCATATTTTTTTTTAAATACGAATTTTAGTTTTTGATTTTTCGTAACTCTGTACAACATTTTAAATATTTACAGACTACTCGAATGTTAATCTATATATAGAGGACATGCATTAACACACAAGTAAACATAATGTATATTATATATATATACATTGTATTGTATCAACAAACAATAAACATGTATTGTATTCTAAGTTTATATATACAAAGAAACTAGCAGTCCTAATGTTTCACAATTAAATTCAATCACGACTATAGTTCTTAATAACAAAATCTTCCCAAATTCGTCTAATGTCATCAATCTCTGCTTCACTTATTGGATGACCATCATCGAATATCTACAAAAAAAAAAAAAAACATTTCAGATAAGCAGAAGTAGGCAAATATATGTCAATGACATAGATATAGTCATAACACATACCAAATTCCATGAATCTGTGATATTTGCTGTGATGATTGTTAACATATGTCTCATCACATAATATCCGCACTCCCAACTTCCTTTTTTCTTATTACACTATAAGAAAAAAAAAACATTAAATACAGAAAATGAGTAAATTAAAGTTAAGAATTTGAAAGATAATGTCCTTACACGTGGAAGTATCCATGTGGGTTTCTTTTTAGGCTTACCCTCCAGGACTGAGTATGCTTCTATACACCTATAAAAGATTAAATGGAAAATACTTCATATTAAGACATGTGGAACTTAAAATGAAATGAATGAAATATTATACAAGGGTGTTAGTATACTTATCTTAAACAATTGAATGTTGTCTGGATCGGGATTTGGGAATGAAGCACAATTATTATGAAGTACTTACTTATGAATATAAAAAGTAAAATCTGGATACTATTTAGCTCAAAGGAGTGAAGCACAGATCTTTACAGTTATTTAATCTGTCATGAACCAGACTTAGAGTATTTAATTAGTCACAAAGACAGATTCATATATAAGGGTGTTAGTATACTTACACATCAATAATCTGTTTAATTTCCTTTTTGGGTTTATTCCATAAAGAGCATAAAAAAATAGTCTCATTACGTTTAGGACAAAGGATAAACAATTGCCGATGAGACCTACAAAAAATGTCGCTCAATTAGCAATTCTTAAGAGATTCAAAGTTTGAAAGTAAGTAATTTAAAAAAACTTACCCATAATGATATGGTGCGAGATAAACTTCCTTTGATCCTGCACAAAATCTCTTTTGAATGTATGCTTGAATAGTATTTGGTTTGTTCCCCAAACTCGAATGTGGACAGGATCAATGAATCCATAGACATCTTCTACTCCCTTTTCCGCAACAGACTTTGTTGAGGTAACTAGAAATTGAAAATATCATGTTAATTGCATTTTAGACAAGTTGGTGTCTAATAGGGCATACAACCAATTGACTTAAATAAAAACATAAGACTTACATTAACCGAGACTTGGAGAATTGTGACGCAAATCATGTATTGACTCAAAACAACATCCATAATGTCCTTCGACTCAAGTACAACGTGATGGGTCGCGGATTCCCAATCACATGAGGGTCCATCCGGATCTGTAAAGGTATATGCTTTCCTAGCCTATAAGCTAAGAGGCATAACCTTTGTATCGGATCTAAGTCCAGTTCCTCTTGAACTTTCTCTTTCTCTTTCTCCTTCCCCTTCTCCTTTCCTTTCTGTCGGGCACAAATGTCCTATACACATCAAGGAATTAAATTAAAATTTATGATAAAATAATAAAATTATAAACATGTATCAAATTATTAAAGAAAACATATAATACCCGATCAGTAGGAAACTGGATAAGTGCTCTAGGCCACCGAATGAAATGACCGGAGCCTCCCCCACCGTTCTAACCTCGTCGGATGGAACAGGAACAAGAGCTTCGTAAACTTCCACCCGTTCAACCGCAACACGAAGAAAGGAATCCGTCATTTCTACCCCGTGTATAAGTGGCCCCAATGTATGCACAGTACCATATGCCACTAGTAAGCCTTCCTTTGTGAAGAACTTGCATAGATGCCTAGGAGTGTCTTCACCAAGTGGAGTTGACTCATCATCAAGAACGTCAACCCGTGCACAACTCCCTTTGGTGCTAACACGTTCCTCGGGCGAGAAGCTACGGGAACACATTGTTGACCCCCTCCCGTGTTCCCCCGAGATAAGCCTAAGGAGACAAGTTCCCGCCTTAGCTCCGCCCGAAGCTCTTCCCTAATTTGATCCCCGATGGCCTCGCAACTCATCTCTAGTGACCACACTTTTTGTGGAAGGTTTAGGAGTGCCAAAATATTGTCGGATGCCAATCCCCCATCCAACTCGCCCGCACACGACCTGGATGCTCCGGTCGTCCAATAGCAAGTGGATAATATATCTTGTCGTCCACTAGGGGTAAAGGTCCCTTGTGAACTTTGCTCTAATAATTCATCCTACAAAGAAAATGTAATTGATTAGAGAAGACACAATATATAATTCTATCTCATTTTGAACAATTTTTTAAATAACTACTTACAATTTTCTCGTCCCACAACACGACTCTCATCTATAGTATAGTCACCTTTCTTGCTCTGTCGTGCCTTCTTCCACTTCTCATGACGAGAAGGAGGTGATGGAGGTGAAGTCACACCCGAGGGGTCACTTTGAGAGGCTTCTTGAGAAGCTTTACGCTTCTCTTCTATCGACTTCCTCTCAAGTAGCCGGTAACCCCTCGGGATAGCCTCGTGAGGATATACATTTTTTTGTTGAAGTGTTTTTGCCTTTTGTCGTTTCTCCTAATAAAGATACATTCAAAGAAACTGTCAGTTAAAAACTGCTGGTATTTCATCGCTGAATTCATCGCTGAAAAAGCTGCTAGTATTTCTTGAACTAATGAGTCTAATTACCAAGCATATGATTTTCCTTCTACCTATATACTCGAAAAACTGCTGGTATTTCATCGCTGAATTCATACCAACTAAACACATAGCAATGTTAAATTAAATCCGAGGTTGATTTAACTGCAGGTAAGGTGCAGAGAATTACATATATAAAAGGCCAATGCATTTTGTGACAATTGCTGATAAAACATGTAGCATACTAAAATAGTATTATCCATTTAGTTCTATGCGTTTTGTGCGAGTTAAAAGCAGGGTAAGGTGTTGTTAAAAGCAGGCAAGTTAAAAGCAGGCAAGTTAAAGCACACGAACCTTAAAAGAAGGATCCATACGGCTCTCAACAAACTTATCCCATGTCTCAGTGTCTAGAAAGGAATATTGCTCACAAGGAGACACTCATTTCTTGCTTCCAAACACGTAGGTGGAAGTCAATTGGGTCTTGAAGGCCCTCCAACGCTCACCAGCGAATGATATCCACTTCCTCCTTAGCCCTTCAGTATTCTGGACATTATAAGTGAGCTACAAAAAATAATACAAGGTCAGTGAATCCTACAAGAATTAACAATACAAGTAAATTTAATAGAAAAAAATTCGTACCAAGATGCTTTGCCAAATTTGTTCCTTCACACGCATCTCCACATCATCCCAATCCTTCTTTATTATGCTCACTTTGTCGCGGCCCTGAAGTGCAACATAACTTCTAAACTTTGTTGCGTGAGGCCCAATAGCATTTCCGGTCGAGTCATCAAACTCAATCGGTAACCTCTCATCAGCATTTCGACTTAGTGTCAACTCACTAAGTCGTGTTGCACGTCTCCCCTTCTTCGCGAACCTACTAGAATCGGCCATATTCTTGCCAAATAAGACAAATAAATGAGTTAGAATACAAAGTAACTAATACAAAGACATGCAAAGTAAGTAATAGTGTAAAAACCATAATATACCTATTGTTTAACAATTTTCCCATATTCCTTCTTCATGATCAAATCGGGTGGCATATACATCATCTTCTTCATTGTCATCATTAGAAGGTAAAAAGTGTGATGTCGAAGATGGACTAGTAAACTCGTTGAAGTTGTAAATCTTCAAGATCATCACTACCGGACATGGGTTTCCCTTGAAGCATTATTGACCAACTACTATTAACTGGATCAGAGATATAAAAGACTTGTTTTGCTTGAGTTGCCATAATAAAAGGTTCGTCTTTATAGCTAAGCTTATTCAGGTTAACCAATGTAAACCCTAATTCATCCACCAAAACACCATTGTTACTCGTCAACCCAATTGCACTTGAATACAACAATTCTAAATTTGGTGTAGTCAACCTCCCAAATATCTTGAATTACTCCATAATAAGAAAGGGATGCCATTACAGGAGAATTATCTTTTGAAGTAGCAAAGTGCATTGATTCAAAGAACTACCATCACACCACTGTTTTGCATTGTACTCTTTTCATCTTGAAGCTTAGTATAAAAGGAATAACCGTTTACATCATATCCACTCCATGTTATGACATCAAAGTTTGGGCCATGAGCTAACCATTTCAAAGTTTCGGATGCATCATCAATTGTAACGATCTGTTCTTCAAACCACTTCAAGAAATTTTTATTGTGTTCATTCAACAACCATTTTTCATTCATCCTTGGATATCTTTGCTTGATCATTTCTTTGTGAGTAGATAAGAAAGGCTGAACTTCATCGATGTTATTCAAGATGTACAAATGCGCTTGTAAAACTTCTTCTCGACTCATGTTTCTACCTTTAACACCTCTGGTTCCCTTCCCAAATTGTCTTCCATCATGACGAAACGTTGGAATCCCTATAGGACTTACTTCGAAAGATAATCTGTACGTAACTCAATTGCTTCTTCTGCAATGTATCTTTCAACAATGGATGCTTCAGGCCTTGATGGGTTTTTAACATATCCTTTCAAGATTTTCATATAACGCTCAATTGGATACATCCACCTTAGATACACAGGGCCACATAACTTAATCTCTCTAACAATATGAACAATTAAATGCACCATTATGTCAAAAAATGAAGGGGGAAAAACATCTCCAATTTGCATAATATCAACACAGACTTCAGCTTCTAGGTTATCCAAAGTCCGAAGGTCGAGTACTTTATTACAAACAAGCATTAAAGAAAAAACACAGCTTGCGTTATAACATGTCTAACCTTCTCTCGGCAAAATGTCCCGAATAGCAACTGGTAAAAGATGTTGCATTAATACATGACAGTCATGGGACTTTAATCCAACTAACTTCAAGTCTTTCATTGACACTAGCCGTTTAATATTCGAGCAAAAACCCTGAGGCACTTTGATACCTTTAAGACATTCACAGAGGCTTTTTTTCTCCTTCTTAGACAAAGTATAACAAGCTGGAGGCAAATAAGTCCGCTTACCACGTGATTGGGGACCTAATTCCTGTCTTATGTTCATATGAAGCATATCTAACCGAGAGTTCAAGCCATCTTTGGTCTTTCCTTGAATATTGAGGAGGGTTCCAATAAGACTGTCACACACATTCTTTTCTACATGCATAACATCAATATTGTGCCTTACATCTAGACTAGACCAATAAGGAAGCTCAAAAAATATGGATTTTTTCTTCCATTTTTCCTTTTCATGGGAAACTGTTTGGGTCTTTCCAAACAAACAATGAATGTCTTTCACCTTCGAATACACTTCCTCTCCTGTTTTAGGGTTAGGAGCGATTTGACTCTCTTGAAAGCCATTATAAGCCTTCTTTAACCTCCGATATGGATGATTAACTGGTAGAAATCTTCTATGTCCTAGGTACACTGTCTTCTTCCCATGTTTCAGTTGATGATAACACGTTTCTTCCATACAAATAGGGCATGCATTATGTCCTTTGACACTGTATCCACTTAGATTTCCATAAGTAGGGAAGTCATTTATCGTACAAAAAAGAAAAGCTTGCAATTTAAAGTATTCATTACGATATGCATCAAATACCTCAACACCCTCTTCCCAAAGAAGTTTTAAGTCTTCAATCAAAGGCCGTAAATAAACATCAATGTCATTTCCTAGTTGTTTGGGGCCAGAAATCATCATCGACAACATTACAAACTTGCGTTTCATGCACAATCGAGGAGACAAGTTGTAAATTACTAACAAAACAGGCCATGAACTATGTATACTACTTAAATTGCCATAAGGATTCATCCCATATGTAGCAAGTGCTAGTCTAAGGTTTCTCCCCTCTTGACCAAATTCTAGAAATATGTCATCAATTTTTTTCCATTGCAGAGAATCAGCTGGATGTCGTATCTTCCCATCACAGTGTCTTTCATCTACATGCCACGTTAAGCTCTTTGCATCTTTGGCATTAGCAAATAGCCGCTTAAACCTTGGAATTATTGGAAGATACCACACTACTTTGACAGGGGTTCCTGATGAAATTGTCTTATCACAATTATCTTCTCCATCCTTGACTTTAAACCGTGATGTACCACAAACAGGACAATTATGCAAACTTCCAAACTCCTTCCTGTACAGGATGCAATCATTACGGCATGCATGTATCTTCTTATACTCCATACCCATCAGACATATTACTTTCTTTGCTTCATAAGTACGGCTTGGAAGTGTATTCCCTTCTCGAAGCATTTCCATTAATAATTGTAGCAACTCTGTAAAACTTTTATCCGTCCACCCATTTTTGGCCTTTAAGTTAAATAATTTTAACACTCGCCGACAACCGTGTGAACTTAGAACATCCTATATACAGAGGCTTCTTACTATCTTCGCATAGTTCTTCGAATACATATCCTTTTTCAAATGGCTCTTCACCGATATCACGTATCAAATCCTCTAGTCGATCATTGGTTTCTTTCTGGATTTCAGTTGTCTTCGAAGCCATTGGGAAATCTACTACTTCCCCATGCCAAATCCACTTAGTGTAACTCTTGCAAAATCCATCACAAAGGAGATGCTCTCTTATATCCTTCACACTTAGTTGTCTTAAATTTAAGCACTTCACACAAGGACAATAAAAGAGACCTCTATTGTTACCCACATTTCTCCGTGCAAACTCTAAGAACTCTTCAACCCCTAATTCATATTCTTCTTCTATACGTTTGGCATTTATCCAACTCCGATCCATATCTATAGGTACATGACGTCTTTGCTTAGTGTGAAAATGGAATTACCTCTATTCGGAGGCAACAAACTTAAACAACTCAAACTATAATCCAAACCGAAATAGTACTCGGAACAACAAGTAAAACTCCAGGAACAAAACAAACAACACAAAGAACAAACCTAAATCAACAACATAAGAAACAAACCCAAATGAAAAACAAGAGAACCAAATATAATCAATACCTCAAAGCCCTACACCCCAGCGTGGAAACCCATAGCCTTAACTCTTCCGCTAAGAGACTCGGACCGGAGCGACATCAACCAACCCAACAGGGCTTGGATAACACCAATCTCAACCCCACGAGAATAACCAAGTGAAAATCACATATTCAAGTCAAACTAAACGGAAATAATAATACAAAACCCGGAATAAACATGTCTACATACATTAAACCCGAGCGAGAATCAGTCCACGACCAAACAAAACAATCCAGAATCAAGGAAAATGCATAAAGGTAATTGACAAAACAAGGATGAGAAGCCAATAGGATAGACCCACGGACCTGGTCCGAATCACCTCCGGTTCGCGACGAGATCGAAGGTGCGCAGGTGCAATGAGGAGGAGCTCCTAGAGGGTTTCGGAGAGGTGAAGACGAGGGTGGCGCGTCGCAGTTCTTGGTGCGCGTCGCAGTTCCTGGTGCGCGTCGCAGTTCTTGGTGCACGGCAAGGGTGGTTTTCGCTTGGGGATTCGATTGGGGAAACGGAGGTTAGGGATTCGATTGGGGGAAGGAGATGGGAGAGACAGAGTGGTTTTCGCTACTGCGATAGGGGCAAGGAGACGGTGGTTTTCGCTCACTGCGAGAATGAATTTGGTAATGGCTAGGAGCAAGGGAAGAATTCCGGAGGGAGTCGAGTCCGTAATTGGGTCCGGGAGTCGAGTCCGTAAGGGCAAGAGTGGAGTCTAGGGCTTACTTGTCTAAAATTTTTATTATTTTTTTTTTAAGACTTTCCACATCGGTTCATGGGGGAACCGATGTAGAAAGTAAAATGGTATATCGGATGACCGATCGAATGGCTTTATGACCGATCGAACCGGATGATCGATCAGAATGAGATTATGACCGATCGAATTGTTTTAAATCGAGTAGATAGCACTTTCCACATCGGTTCATGGGGGAACCGATGTAGAAAGTGAAATAGTATATCGGATGACCGATCAGAATGGCTTTATGACCGATCAAACTGGATGATCGATCATAATGAGTTTATGACCGATCAGAATTATTTTAAATCAGAGTAGAAAGCACTTTCTCGGGTTGTATTTCGCTTGAGCGACACTATACTCGCTCGAGCGACATCTGATTCTAACATGAGGTCTCCCATGTTACATTATCCGGCTAACTTTGATCGACGTTTACGCAGGTCAACATTCGCTCAAGCGACAATAAGATCGCTCGAGCGACGCGACCTGCACAAAATTGGCATTCTCGGGTTGTATTTTGCTTGAGCGACACTGGTCTCGCTCGAGCGACGCCACCTGCACAAAATTGGCCTTCTCGGGTGGTTTTTCGCGTGAGCGACACTGTCTCGCTCGAGCGACATCCACATTTTTTGGTTATGATCGATTACATTTTCAAATGATCGATCATATTTGAATATATATAATAGCGGTTAAGATTTAACCGCTATTAGACGTGCTATATAATAGCGATTAAGACTTAACCGCTATTAGAAGTGCTATTATAATAGCGGTTAAGATTTAACCGCTATCATATACAACCACATTTTTCAATTCCCTGTATACAACCACATATACAACCACATTAGAAAGTAAAATAGTATATCAGATGACCGATCAGAACTGGATGATCGATCAGAATGAGTTTATGACCGATCAGAATTATTTTAAATCAGAGTAGGAAGTACTTTCCACATCGGTTCATGGTGGAACCGATGTAGAAAGTACTTTCTACATCGGTTCCCATCTGAACCGATGTGGAAAGGCTTTAAAAAAATTTCTACATCGGTTCTTTAACAACCGATGTAAAAAGTCTGATGTTAAAAGTGTTTTTTGTACTAGTAAAAGCAGTTGCTTTCCCAGTCTCTAAAGGAGAAAAATGTAGAGATTTGCAATGCTTTTTGGAGGGAACAAGTTTGGTGTGGAGTAGGCTACACAGTACAAAGACATTTGTTGTTCTTGACAATGTTGATGATGTTGAACAACTGAGAATGTTTACAGGGAATAGATACACTTTGTTGCGTGAATGCTTAGGTGGAGGGAGCAGAATCATCATAATTTCCAGGGATGAGCATGTATTGAGGACACATGGAGTGGATGATGTTTATCAAGTCCGCCCTTTGACTGAAAAAAATGCTGTCGAGTTGTTTTGTAGGCATGCTTTCAAAGTTAATTATATTATGAGCGAATATGAAGGATTGGCACGTGATGTACTATCACATGCTGAAGGGCATCCCTTGGCAATTAAAGTAATTGGGTCATCTTTGTTTGGTCGAAACGCATCACAATGGAAAGGTGCATTGGGTAGGCTCAAAGAGAATAAAAGTAGAAATATTATGGATGTTTTGCGTATAAGTTTTGATCAGTTGGATGAAGGAGACAGGAATATTTTTGGATATTGCTTGCTTCTTCTGCAGTGATTATAGAGAAAAATATGTGAATGAAGTTTTAAATTTCCGAGGATTTCATCGAGAATATGGCATACAAGTTCTGGTTGATAAATCACTCATAACTATTAATCATGGGTTGTTAAGAGATTTAGGCAAGTGTATTGTACGAGAAAATCACCTAAGGAGCCTATAAAGTGGAGTAGGTTGTGGGATTTCCAAGATCTCCACAATGCCTTGTTAGACAATCAGGTAAAATTGTATTTTTTGATTTATAAATTTTAAGATTGTCATTCTTTTAGAATTTATAAAAACTTCAAAAAATATACTAATTTGATTCTTGTGTACTATGTTTGTAGGCAACTGAAAACCTTGAAGTTATAATTGTTTAGGTTGAATGAGACTATTAAAACATCAATGAGGGCAGATGGTCTATAAAAAATTAAGCATCTTAAGCTGCTTAATCTTGAGAACTTGAACTTCTCAGGAAGTCTCGTTCATCTATCGAATGAACTAGGGTATCTTACTTGGACACAATATCCTTTTGAATGTTTGCCTCCAAGTTTTCAACCAGATAAACTAGTTGAGTTGAACCTTAGTGAGAGCAACATTCAACGACTATGGACAGGCAAAAAGGTAGCGTAAATTTCTTTTATATTTCTATTTTTTTTTTAAATAAACCAATTAAATGACAAACTGTTTTTTCATTTCGATTATTTTTAATTAATTTAAGAAACATATTAATGAAAACCCAGGTATCATTATTAATTTTGTCTTCTTCTTGCCTATTTCTGTAGCCTCTGCACAATTTGAAACGTTTGGTTCTCCCTTTCTCCAAAACCCTAGTTGAGATTCCAGATATTGGAGATGCTCTAAATCTCGAATGGCTAGATCTTGAAGCATGCAGACAGCTCAAAAAAATCAATCCATCCGTTGGCCTTCTGAGAAAGCTTGCTGTTTTGAATTTGAAAAACTGCATAAACCTAGTAAGCTTACCCAAGAACCTATTGGGCCTGACTTCTCTTGAATATCTGAGTGTCTCTGGGTGTTCAAAACTGTATAATAATCAGTTATTATATGAAGGATGGAATGGAGAGCATTCGAAGAAGCTTTGTTTAGTTGAAGCTGCTTTCCATTCCGAGACAAAATCCTCTCTTATAAAAAATATGTTTTCGTGGCCTTTGGATTTGTTGTATTCCAGAGCACAGAGAGAGTCAGTTAGCTGTTTAACACCTTCCTCTCCTACTCTCTGTTGTTTGCGGGAACTTAATCTGAGTTTCAGTAACTTAGTTCATATCCCTGATGCCATTGGAAAGTTACATTGCTTAGAAAAGCTATATTTAAAGGGAAACAATTTTGTTATGCTTCCCAGCCTCAAGGACCTTTTCAGACTCTATAATTTAAACTTACAGCATTGCACGCGGTTGAAATATTGTCCTGATCTCCCTTCACGAATTGACTTGCCCTCAAAACGTTACTTTAGTGTCTTGCCATATTCACCTACTATCAATGTACTTCATGTTGTACAACACGACGAAGTTAATGGAGGATTAAACATTTTCAACTGTCCAGATTTAGTTGATAGGGAACGATGCACTAGCATGGCTGCTTCATGGATGATAAACATTGTTCAGGTGTGCATGTTCCTTCCTTCCCCTTCCCTTCTTTTCATTTATTTTTGTGGAATGACAAAAATTGCTATGGATACCAACAACTAACGCATAACTCTGTTGTGCTACCAGGCGAACCACCAACACAGATGTCTTCCATCAAGTTTTATGGGTCCAAATGTTGGAAGTATTATCCCTGGAAGTGAAATACCGAGGTGGTTTAACAGTGAGCATGTGAGCACCGACAATTCAATAATCATAGATGCATCTCCTGTCGCGCAGGACAATTATTGGATTGGAGTTGTGTGTTGTGTAATATTCCAGATACGGAAAATGACTTCTCCAACAAAAACACCACTTTCCGGTGATAAAATTCCTGTGGATGTCAGAAGAGATCTAGTCATGGACGAATCAGATCACATGTGGTTATTCGTCGGCAAGAGTTCATTAATGGATGCAACCGCAGGGCATACCTAATATTGATGGCTTGAAATTGAAATTTAAAATACGGGACATGGAAGATTTTAGTGATTTCTTTGAGGATTCAGGGGAAATTGGAGAAAAAGTTTTTCCGGTTGAAGTGAAGAAATACGGGTACCGCTTGGGTATCAGAACAAGATTTAACAATGAAATTTAACAATGATGCATCATGGTGGAAATTTGAGAACTCGTAAGCGCAAGTTTTTGGCTGTGGAAGAAAATAAGTAGGAACAGGATTTCAGACACACTCAAGAATGTAGAAGGGACTCGTTAAATAATATTTAAGCCCATCTAAGTATGATTTTTGAAAGGCATTCTTTTTTTTTTTTGTTGGTAATTTTCCTTGTATGCTTTTTATATTATTTTAGATAATATATAATATTATTATTTTAATTTAGATAATTATGATTAATATATTATTAATATTTAATCTTTTTTATATTTTTAATATATATAAATAAAATATGAATATATATATATATATATATATATATATATATATATTTATATACATATCAACTCTATCCTATCATATATATCTAAAATACATACATAAAAATTTAAAAAAATTTCATTAATAAGATAAAAAAAAAACTTTAATTGTTACGAGAACAAGTCATTATTCAATTTTTTAATGACAAAACGGATGAGTTATGAGATATGAAAAAGCAATTATATATTGAAGTAGCATATTCTTAGGAAGAGAATTATTATTGATTTGTTGTCTGAAAATTTTATTATTATCAAAATCAAAATTAAAAAAAGAAAAAAAGTAAAGTTATGTTTCTATAGATGTATTTTACAAATGATAATAATTCGAATCATAATTTTAAAATCATCTAAAAAAATTTAATATTATTGAAAAAAAAAGAAGAATATGAAAGACCCCAATAGAAAGGTAGATTAGTCCAGAAAAAGAAAACCCCGTTAACTAATGAGGTTACATGTATTGCGAAATAAGACTATAAATCAATAATTGTTAGTAATATACAAAATATTTAAACAAATATATTTTGAGAAGAAGATCTAAGATATCTTAATGGTCAAAGACGAAATTTTCAAATAAAAGAATGATGAGTTTCAAAGTCTTGATTATGAAATTGAGAACCTTTATATTTAATTTAAAAAATTATAGAAGTTAAAAAGATTAAACTATGAATTTATTTGTATTAAAAGATAATAATAAAAAGAAAGATAAGAAGAATGAGTACTCTTACTGAAACTTCTTTACATTCCTTTTTGAGGAAGATTAGTGTAATGAGATAAAAACAAATAAATTATATCATATTAGAGGCCAAATGAAAGATTTTCCGTGTAAAAAACATAAATCTTACGAGAATAAAATATCATACTAGAAAAAAGTGTGCTGGAAGTGATTATAAAGAAAAAAGAAATTAAGAATAAAGTAATAAAATTAAACAAAAAAAATAATCACATATAAAAAAGAAAATGAGATAAAAAAAAATAAAAAAGAAAAATAACAAATTCAAATTTATTAACCATTTAATTTGGTGGAAGGTTGATGGAAGAATAGAAGAGAAGAAGACCATATTACTCCCAAGAAATTTTGAAAAAAACCAACCATCTTCATCCGCCTGGTCAATTCCCAAGAATTTGATATGGGCAGGTGTATTGTTCGGGAAAAATTACCAATGGAGCCAAGAAAGTGGAGTAGGGATTACAAAGATTTTCACGAGTAATTAGAGTCTAAAATCTTAAGTTGTCATTTCTCTATAACTTGTTAATACTTCAAGAGTGCTAACAATTTGCAGTTGTGTAGGCAACAGAAAATGTTGAAGCCATAGCTGTTAAACAATGGACGAAGGATTTTCATGAAACAACAATAAGCGCTGATGCTCTATCAAAAATGAGTCATCTTCAGTTTCTCAGGCTTTGAGAGTGTTAATTTTTCTGGAAACCTCAATCACCTTTCCAATGAGTTAAGATATCTTTCGCGGTATAAAGATCCCTTTGAGTGTTTATCTCCAACTTTTGAGCCATAGTGGTGTTGTCCTTCTATGGCAGCAACCTCAAAAGACTATGGGAGGACAGAAAGGTAGTTGTACCAACCCGATCCCAAAATCCAGAGATGATATTATCCCTAAACCCTAAAGGGGAAATGGAGACGTCCTCCAAATAGAGCAAGACGCGTGAATTGTCGAAATAATTTCATTTTTATTTAATTTGATAATCTAAATTACTAATTTATTATAACGATTAAATTGTAAGAAAAATAAATCGATTTTTTCTCCATTTTACATATATCAAAAAATTGAACTCAACTTGGGGACGTACTTGGATAATTTATTTGCCACTTAATTTGGTGGAAGCAGGGTTATTTCCCAAACCTTAGTATATTTCTCACAGTATTACTATTGCACATCGTCGCCGCAAGTTTGTTTACACTGTTGCCAATTGCAATGACTTCTGATGCTATCATCCAATACACCTCTTCTTCATCTCACACGATGAGGACACATGATGTGTTTGTGAGCTTCCGTGGGGAAGACACTCGCTACAGCTTCACTGGATTTCTCTTTGAAGCTCTTGGTAGAAAGGGCGTTGATGCCTTCAGAGATCATACACATCTCCAGAAAGGGGAATCCATAGCACCCGAGCTGCTGCAAGCAATTGAAGGGTCTCGTGTTTTCGTTGTGGTCTTCTCAAAGAACTATGCTTCCTCAACATGGTGCTTGCGTGAACTTGCGCACATCTGCAATTGCATTGAAACACCACAAAGACCCGTTCTGCCTATCTTTTATGATGTGGATCCGTCAGATGTGCGAAAACAAAGTGGATATTATGAGAAGGCCTTTGCTGAACATGAAGAAAGATACAGAGATGATAAAGAGAGGATGGAAGAAGTTCAGAGATGGAGAGAAGCTCTCACACGCGTGGCCAATTTATCTGGCTGGGATATCCGAAACAAGTACGCAATCCTCTCACATTTCACCATGGATCTTAATTTATTATGTATCTGTGCAATTCCATGTATTTCATCAATTTTTAGTGAATTGTGTTTGATTTTCGTGAGTGATTATTTGACATTCTTTATATTCTTCTTTTATTGTAGGCCACAATATGCAGAGATTGAAAAAATTGTTAAAAGTATACTGAACATGTTGGGTAATAAATTTTCATGTCTTCCAAATGATAATCTAGTTGGAACGGAATCTCGTGTTGAAGAATTAGCAAATCTATTATGTTTGGAGTCTGATAATGACGTTCATGTAGTTGGAGTTAGTGGGATGGGTGGTATAGGAAAGACAACTCTTACTCGAGCTTTATACGAAAGAATCTCTTGTAAATTTGATTTTTGTTGTTTTATTGATGATGTAAGCAAACTTTATCAAGAGTCTAGTACATTAGGTGTACAAAAACAGTTACTTTCTCAGTGTCTAAATGAAAAACAATTAGAGATTTGCAATGTTTCCAAAGGAACATGTTTGGTATGGACTAGGCTACGAAATGGTAGGGCCCTTATTGTTCTGGATAACGTTGATCATGTTGGACAACTAAAGATGTTTACAGGGAACAGAGAGAATCTGTTACGTGAAAGCTTGGGTGGTGGGAGCAGAATCATTATAATTTCTAGGGATGAACATATATTGAGGACACATGGAGTAGATTATGTTTATCAAGTTCGGCCATTGAATCTCACAGATGCTGGTCGACTGTTTTACCATCATGCTTTCAGGAGTAATTATGTAAAGAGTGGTTATGAAGAGTATGCAAACGTTATATTATCATATGTTCAAGGCCATCCCTTGGCAATTGAAGTATTGGGCTCATCTTTGTTTGGTCGAGGTGTCTCACAGTGGAGAAGTGCATTGGCTAGGCTACGAGATTACAAAAGTAAAGATATAATGGATGTGTTGCGAATAAGTTTTGATCAGCTGGATGATACAGAAAAGGAAATATTTTTAGACATTGCTTGCTTCTTGAATTATAGAGAAGTGGAATATGTGAAGGAAGTTCTAGAATTTCGAGGATTTCATCCTGAATATGGTCTACAAGTTCTCATTGATAAATCACTCATTAAATATGAGCGTGATTGGAAATGTTTGTCGATTATGATGCATGAGTTGTTGGTAGATTTGGGCAGGTGTATTGTTCGAGATAAGGCACCTAAAGAGCCTAGAAAGAGGTGTAGGTTGTGGGATTACAAAGATCTCCACAAAGTGATGTCTGACAATACGGTAAAATAATTTGAGCTTAAAATACTACTTTGTCATTTTTCGACAATCTGCAAATACTTCAAAACAAGTAACAGTTTCGTTCTTGTTTGTGATGGTGTAGGTAGCAGAAAATCTTGAAGCCATACAAGTTACAAAATGGACCACGGAATCAATAAGGGCTGACGGTCTCTCCAAAATGAATTATCTTCAGTATCTCAATCTTGAGGGTGTGATTTTTTCCGGAGAACTCAATCATCTATCCAAAGAATTAGGATATCTTAATTGGGATAATTATCCTTTTGAGTGTTTACCTCAAACTTTTCAGCCAGAGAAACTTGTGGAGTTGTCCCTCATTGACAGCAACATCAAACAACTATGGGAAGGCACAAAGGTAGTGTAAATTATTGTTCCTTTTGAATGAATCAAGAAAAAATTATACTATCTCTTACATTATTTCTTCTGCTCTGATTAATTAAAGAAACAAAAGAAAGCCTAATTATTATCTCCTATTATTGGCCCTGCATTGCAGCCTTTACCCAATTTGAGACGTTTGGATCTCTCTCATTCGGAAAATCTAACGGGCATACCAAATCTGTGTAAGGCCCTAAATCTTGAAGCAGTAAGTCTAGAAGGATGTGTACAACTCAAGCACATCGATCCATCCATTGGTTTTCTAACAAAGCTTACTGTTTTGAATTTGAAAGACTGCAAAAGTCTTGCCATGTTACCACATTTTGAAGAGGCTATAAATCTTGAAAACCTGAATCTCCAAGGATGTACCAAACTTAAGCAGATAGATCTATCCATTGGTCTTTTAAAAAGGCTTACTCTTTTGAATTTGAAAGGCTGCAAAAACCTAGTAAGCTCACCCAACAGTAAATTGGGCCTCAAATCTCTTCAATATCTGGGTATCACGGGTTGTTCAAAACGGTTTAATACCAAATTATTAGATGAACCAAGTAACCAGCTTTTGAAGATGCAGTGTGAAGGTGAAGAAGCTCCTGCTAATTCCCAATCATCATTCTCATTCGTCAAAATGTGGCCTTTAAATTTATTCTATTCCAGAGCTCGTAAAGACACATCTAGTGTTTTATTTCCTTCCTTATTTGGCTTCCCATGTATGCGTGATCTTGATCTAAGTTTCTGCAATCTACTTCAAATCCCTGATGCTATTGGAAACTTACATAGCTTAGAAAGGTTAAATGTAAGTGGGAACAATTTTGCTACACTGCCCAACCTCAAGGAGCTTTCCAAACTGTATTATCTAAACCTACAGCATTGCAAGCGGTTAAAATATTTGTGTGAACTTCCTTCACGAACTGAGTTGCCATCACTACCTAGTGAAAGTTCACCTTATGTAATTGAAGCAGGATTATATATTTTCAACTGCCCAGGATTAGTTGAGAGGGAACACTGCACAAACAAGGGATTTTCATGGATGATACAACTTATTCAGGTGTGGTCTTTTTTCTCTTCCTCTTTTTTGTGTTTGCAGGAACCGGGAAGTAACTTATATCTGTGTTTATGGCATTAGGCGCTCCACAAATACAATATTTCCAAGTGCGGGTACCAAATATGGCCTCCATTAATTTCAAGTATTATTCCAGGAAGTGAAATACCAAGGTGGTTTCACAATCAACATGTGAGCATGGGCAATTTAATAACCATAGAGGCATTTCCCATTGGAAATCGTGTTGGCGGCGTTGCTTGTTGTGTAGTATTCCCAGCTTGTTCCGAAGAAAGAGTTTTATGGATGCCTCCAAATAGCATAAGAAGTGGTAATTATGTTGCAGAAATTCCGGTGGATCTAGATGTTGATATAGTCTCGGACAAATCAGATCACATGTGGTTGTTCTATTTAGTTGGACACAATTGCAGATTGTCAAAATTTGAAATTGATGTAATAGACAGACAAGGTTTTACTGTTCAGGTGAAGAGATACGGGTATAGTTGGGATACGTATTTGACAACGAGGAATAGTGGAAATTCATCAGGTCAGAAACGCAAGTTTTCGATGATTGAAGAAAAATAAGGTAACAACCCACACTCCTCTCATAGTGAATAATTAAAGGCATTGTTGAATATGGAATCAAGAATTGCAGCAATAAAACCATACATTGACACACAGGAAATGCAGGATTATCATTCAAATTCACAATGACATTAGGTAATCAAATGATTTCTTAAATCCTATAATATTGTTGAAGTAAGGGCACTTTGTTTATTACCCTGTTTTTCTTATCCCCTTTACTACCTTTTGAATATGGTACAAATTTTTAGATATTACATTGGTAGTAAAGAAATCACTAGATGGTATTACAATTCTAGGATTTTCTATAAATCTGAAGTTATAACGTATGTATCAGAAAAGCCACTCCACTTTAGATGAATCTCAGCAAAATGTTGAACTGATACTTGTAACCCTCAGTGGGAAACAGAATCAAGTTTTTGCATAACACTTTCCACATCTGAGCTTAGAGGATCACTCTTATGGTACACATATTCTCTTTCTTCTGTTTTTGTTGTAATGTTTACCAGAGGTTGATATAATTTATAATCCTTTTTATGGATCTTTAACAAAGTCAGCTCAGTCTATGCTTTAACTGTATCTGAAATCAAATGGACATATTATTCTGCCTCTTTCTTAATGTAGAGTTGTTTAATAAACATATATAATGATTGATTCAAGTGATAGAGTCATAGAATGCTTCCTGGTATTAGTTAATCTTATAATCAGGACAACAAGTAAAGAAAATGATTTAAGACTAACCAGAAAGGATGTGATGAAAAATATATTTGAAGTATAGAATCATCTAGAGCAAGTAGAATCTGGTTCATATTTTGATCCTAACATTCAATGTCATGTCTTCTGATATTTGAGGGCTTAGTCTCAAGGATCTTTATTCATAAGAAAATAATAGAAAAACAGAAAAAAAAAAAAAAAAATCAACACTATTTTCTGCAAGATTTTTGAAATCTAAATTGAAGATTGAACAGACAAGGCAAATTATTTTGAAAAATATTTTTTATGTTTGAAGTCACATTATTTTTGTTTCTATCTTTCATGTCTTGCATGCTTACTTAAAACAAATTGGATTTGTTTCAGATTTTGATCAAGGTAATATTTTTCTATGCTCTAAAATCTACACTTGCACTGCGAACTACAATATTTTGAAAACTAAGTCGAAGATCAAATATAAAAGAATAGTTTTAAATGGTTCTATTTGGTTTTTGTTGAATTGGATAATACTTAGTCTGTTCATGGTCCACCATTGCATATTAAATCTGATCTGATCAACATTCAAATCTTAATGTGTAATTTTAGCTGCTTTAATATTTAACACGGAAATTTAATTAAACAGATCAAACCATTCATTAAAAAATCCTACTGAAAAAATAACACCACAATCTAAATTTTGAAAAGAAGAATACCATATGTATGTATGTAAAATATGAACCCCAAATTCAACATATCTTCCAGAATTAGAACTCACCTTATGATAATGTGGAAATGTTATTAATGGAACAATTCATACCAATTTTTCTGTCGTAAATGTTATTATTATGATTTTAAAATTAGAATGTTCTCAAATTTGAATTATACTAACTAGCACTAGCTATTGGCATTTTTTTAGTTGTGTTTCTCTTAACTTAAATATATATATATATATATATATATATATATATATATATATATATATATATATATAATAATGTATATTACTAACATTTACATTATCAAGGGATTGCATTTTGATTCCTTTAGGTACGAGAAAAAAAAAATATCTTTTTTCTCTCATTCTATTACTAGTCACAGCAAATATGTTTGAATAAATTTCTCTAAAACTACTTAAAAATATATATATAAAATAAATTTATTTACAAGTTAAAAAGTTAATGTAAAAGTTAAAAGTAATTTTTTAACTCAAAATCATCTTTTAACTTTAAAGAAAAACTTATTTCGTTTTTTTCTAAAATCATGAAGAAGGTTATTTGAAACCTATTCAATGTATATCTTTATACCTGTCGATAAGCCTTTGACAAAATTGCCAGTATCGATATGATTATGACGTAAAATATTGAAGGTGCACTTCAGTCGAACAAAATTGCATTCTTTCCTCCCATTCCTCGATGCTTTAACTGTACAAAATTTACTAATACATAAATGCAGAGCCTTCGCTTAGGCCTATCTTGTACAAAACTCAACCTATGGACTTCTATGCTATATACAAAAGAATTTTAACCTACGAAAACTATTATTTCTAACTACACATAAAAATGACAGGTCTTAAAGTTGGTTCCTCAATTGTACGACTAAACCGTGCATCGACTCAATCTTTTGACCGAGTTCTTTCACAACAGTAAGGTGCTGAAAAGAAGACTCAGAAGTACCAATGTCAGATATCAAAGCATTAATCTTAGACTGTGAATCGGCAACTGCTTCCTCAAGCAAAATTAATGTTGGTTCCATAGTTTTTCTTGTGCTTTCATTTGTTGGATTTTGTATCAGAGAGAGGCCTCGGCTAGAAAAGCTAGTATCTACGCCAGGCTTCTCAGGAGAAAAATTCTTGTCAATGTCCTCACTTCCTGCATACCATCATAACATTATTAGTGATGGAATACGGAATAAATGAGAGCATCAGCCCAAACAACCCCGTGAAACACTTGGAACTGCGCGCTTGAAGGCAAAGGATCAACAGCAAAAAAATTAACCAAAGCCACACATCCAAAGGAAAACTGATAGTCTAGGCACAGAGAACAGAAAATGGAATAGAATACAGAAAATGGGATAAACATATTTTTATGTAGTACAGCCTAATTGTATTTTTATGAGATAGATTGGATTTGGCTTAGGTTTTACGTAGTAAAATCAATTAGAATTGGGTTGAATAATGAATTAATGAATTTCAGATCCATTGAACCCAACTCATAATAATGAAATTATTTGTCTAATAATTTTATATTTTATCTTTAGGCTGTTAAAAATAAAATAAAAATTAGACTCAATCTAACCCAATCCAATTAATTGATTGTGTCAAAAAACTAGATTAAACTAGATCCAATTTGGATGACTTATACCCCTAATAAACATTAAGTAAAATGAGGTGTTCCCCATGAGGACCAAGAAAATGGCTGGATATAATTTAGTTAGACCTCAAATTTACTTTTTGATTTTTCCTTTTTGTTATACTTCTAAAACATTCAAGTATCATACTCAACTTCCATATGAGGTCAACTTCAATATACGTACATGGGTCCTATCCAGAGACCTGGCTTTTAAGTCCAGTGACAATTTCTTAAAAATATTAACATCTAATAAAATAACATAAAATAGAATTCATGGGGCTTTTCTTATGCTCTCTCTCTCTTGATGATATAGACACAAAACCAACCATTCATTGTCAATCAAGTGTTAAAACTGAAATCCATGTCTACCCCACATCAAAATGTAGTTCTCAAAATTTATTACAATGACAACACTTGGTAATCGGTCATTTAAGGTTGAAAGATCAGTAATTGATCTTACTAAAATAAGAATTAATTCCTAATTAAAAGCATTGTATACATAAGAAAATTTGGAAGCATACCTAGGTTGCCAAGCAGATGAATTACAGACTGGGCGACAGAACTTTCTAGCTTAAATAGCTGTAAAATTCCAGCGGTTATTCGGCCCACAGAATCAATTTCAGACTTGCATAGAAAAATGAAGTGTTTGACCTCTTCCTTGGTTACAACTGCCTCAATCTGTGTAGGTAAGATCTTCATCGTACACAACCTTTCAATAAAAAAAGTCAATGACTATTTTAAATGTGAAAGTCCCATTACCGGTTGTCTTATATAAAACTTGAGATTCTCCACTTCCCAATTAACCATTTCACCATCTTCATTATCCTCACACAATATCATGCCTACTTCAAGATCAAGTCCCTCAACTTTGTCACTGAATTGTTTAACTCCATTTGCAATTATAATTGATGAAGGAATGTCCTTTTGGATATGAGGCTTCATGATCTGCAACCCTTGAACTCCAACCTGCATGTTCTGGCCCAACATGTAAGGGGTACGGAAGGACACATTTACGGCAAGATAAACTTACAAGAAGCAGAAAATCAACCAGAAGTGTCTGCGTCCTAGCTAATATTCAACATTTCTAGTGTCTACACCTACAGTGTTTCTTTCATAATTGTTGGGAAAATATTAAAAAAAAAAAAAAAAAAAAAACACTTCCCTACTGACTTTGGCAATACACAATAAACAAATATTCACACATTACAATTTCCCAACTGACTTTGGCAATATCCAAACAAAAATCTTACCAAACTAAACAACATTAGTTTCTTGTTGGCAAATATTTGTTGGTTGATCAACCAACATTAATTTGAGGGGAAATGCTAATGTCCTTAAAGCTGTCATAATTATTATTTAATTAGACATTACAATTTTCTATAAATATGTGTAATGTCTCCTAAAACTTAATGTTGTAAAGATCCTAATAGCTATTTGATGAGAATAACCCCAAGTGGGCAGATCAGTTTTCCCCAAACAGTACTACTATTATCTCTGATACATTTATAATGATTTTCAGACAAGATTTTCGTTCATTTAAGCGAGAAAGTAATTGGATCCAAAGAATGAATAGCTTAGTGAGGAAGATTTCCTTAATCCATGGCTGTGGATTGGTTTCAAGCCCTATGCACTATCCTTAAATGTAATGCTAAAGAAAATTGAGAGTTTATTAAGAGAATAAAAAACTGTATGTTATTCATATCCATGAGGTTATCCAAGGTATTTATGGACAGAGATTGAGCCAACTGTATTCAGTTACAATGGCAGAGACTAACACCCATCTAACTACTACATAACTGATTAAAGGTCAAGCTAGGGAGAATTTAGAGTTTAGAAAGAGAATCAGAAACTATATGTCTGTTACTCATATATGAGAGCTTATGCAAGCTATTTATGATAGAGATTGAGCCAATTGTATTCAGTTACTGTGGCATAGACTAACAAACTTCTAACTACTACATAACTACTGTCCCCTTAAGGACGAAACTTACTTCGATCTCCATTTGGCAATCTGCCTTTGAGTGAGTAAAGTCAATCCTATCAGTCTATCATCTCAGCCAGTGCAGTTACTTCCCTTCTTGTTCATTTTACAATTGAAAAGTTTATTTTCCTGTATTTTTAGTTATTTCTGAAAAATTCTTTGGGCAAATTTTTGCGTTTACTCACAAGTTACGGAAAGTTGTGTGCCCCTCCCAGGGTAATGAAATCATGCATGTAGTGGACATAACTAAACATATACATTTAACACTTACATACTGCATCAAACTCGAATAAAGAAGGATGCATGTCTTACCGTAACCAGTTCCACAGGATACAGTTGTATTCTGTGTGATTGTGCTTTTCTCTTTGAAACATTCTTTGGGCAACTTTTTGCATTTACTCGCAAAGTATGAAAAGTTGTGTGCCAAAACATCTCTTCTCTGTTTGAATCATGGCTTGAGAACCACCATCTTTCAGCCACCTCTTGTGTGCCTTCAAGAGCAAATAACCAGTCTCTCAACTCTATAGTTATGTCCACAACATCTGGCTTCTTCAAGTGTGGAAAACTGGTATCTTTCCCTTCTTTCATAGATTCAACTGCCGTAAATGTTTGTAAGAAAACTATTCTTAAAAGTAACAAGCAAAACACAAGGAATATGACGTAAAAATTTACTATTTATAAAGCAATGCACCAGCTACAGAAAATGAGAAGAGACTGTTTCATACCATTTTCTAAATTATCAACAATCAGAGGTGTTGTCTTAAAAAGTTTTGCCAATGGTCCAGTTTGTAAGTTCTCGAATCCTTTAGACAACCCCTTCCCTGGACCACCATCAGGCCCTAGTATTCCGAATCGATGCAGGAGGGCCTCAGAGTAGTTCATTCCCCCACCAAGACGAACACCAGATACAAAAGCTGAGACATTTAAAGTATGTGACTCCGTGTCTACTACACAAAATGGTATTACTTGCTCCATACGTATGTCTAGGAAGGGGAAGGGTGATGAAAGTTCATTTTCATTAAGTAGTTGCTTTTTGTTATGCACCCAGAAAACAGGTCTCAGTTTAGGGTGTCCATTGTCACTTATTGAGGGAACAGTTTCTCCAGTACTAAAATATGGGTCATTTTCACATGCCAAGTGTTCTTCAGATTCCGCACAATCTATTTGAACTCTCTCCCAATTTAATGTGGATGAAACAGCAATAGCACCACCTAGCGTTCTATGAGTGGCAGTAACATATAAATCATCCCCGACAAACTGTCCTAGAGGCATTCCCTCAGAATTCACAGAAGACGACTCGAGAAATTGAAGTTGGAGATTGTTTATTGTCAAACTTACAGAAGTATCGCTGGGAATCTTGTCCATCAGATTTCCACTAAAAGATTTGTTTCTAACATCTTTCAATTGTTTCTTTTTTCCAGCTATGGCTATTTTCTCACTAACTCTCCCAAAATAATCATAGAAATTCAGGACAAAAAAAAACTGTTCAACTGAAGTGTTGAATAGACATTGTTCATAAGCAATACCAACCCTCACAATACCCCCGGGAGGAGGAACCTTTAACAAGGAACTACCATCAGCAGTTACCATAGCTACTTCTATGCGAGCACCTATCAGGTCAACACATCTCCACAATCCAGATGTCCATCCGAGAGAGCTCTGCTGTCCAAGCTTGTCAGTACTTGCTTCCAGAGATAAAGTAAGCTGGGATGCTCCCGCAGTCCACTTCTTTTGACTGGCATCAATTGGTTGATCCTTCCAAAGACAGAAGCAAGCAGGATCCTTCTCGAGGTTCAGTATTCTCAGTTTCAATGACGGTGAATCTAAAAAGAAAAGATTTTCAATATGTAGCCTTGCTCCAGCAAAGGAGGTCTTGACTGCATTGTTCATATTGGTTTTAGAAATATCCAGTTGGGTCTTATCCGAAGGAACTGTAAGATCCAGACCCTTCAGAGTGAAATTAAAAGATTTTACTGAGAAATCTGGCGAAATGTCACTGTGATTGACATCAATACCATCAGCTAAGAATGATGATATCCTAAGGTAGGATTCTTCTTGAAGGTGAATCTGGAAAACAAATAAATTCATCAAATAACAAAATTGGCATAAAAAAAATAAATAGATGCACTAGCTGTCATTTTGTTAAAAGAACTTGCACACAAACACGCACGCACCATTAGATGTTGACAATCAATAACAGTTTCAGAAGCAAAGGATGGTGGAAGAGGAGAAGGCACGATCTGAATAGAATGGAGGCATATTAGAGGAGTTCCCACAATTGATTGCCATTGCTGTTCTTTTAGTGGATATATGGAAGGGCAAAAGCTTCTAGCTGCCAAAGACATAATAGAAATATTTAATTAAGTAACATAGTTAATGTGCTAAAATGATATATTCGTCTAAAACTGTGAGGTTATAAATATTGATATATATATATATATATATATATATATATATATATATATATATATATATATATATATATATATATATATATATATATATATATATATATATATATATATATATATATATATATATATTGATATAATTGATTATAGTCTCAGTTTTTGTTTGCATAAGTTTAGTGAAAAGTGGCTCTAGGATTTAATTTTACTTGAAAGAAACAAATAAAGCAACTTTTACATGAGAAAAAAGGGTATGTATGAAGCTGAAAGAAAAAAAACTAGAGTGGAAAAGAATCATAAGCTACAAAGTTTCATATTTATAAAAACATCTTATTATTTCAGGGAAGAAAAAAAAAATTTACATATTTCAGCTACTGTCTCAACAAACACTTGCAAATTGTAAACAGCCTTTTTATCCCAAAAACAACTGAAATCAGAAAAAATCATATTCCTCAAATACCAAATGCGGGGACTTGGAAAACATCTTCTGTGACAGATTGCATTGATGGTTGAACTAAGGTACATGGAGGAAATGAAAAGGTGTCCCTGCATTTCAACATACAGATGGTACAAGTTTGTTAAATGATAACTATGTTTTATTCCCTCTTAAAATCATTTGGTATTAAGTGAAATTGTCCAACAAATATATAAGTTGCACTGCAAGTGATGTGTGGGACTTAGCCCTCTCCACAATTCCTATTTGAATAGGCCATACATGGATTAGACTTTAATACCTTGTAAGATTTTGTTTTAAAATCAATTGGAATTAAGTGAGGTTTTCTAACACACACACACACACACATATATATATATATATATATATATATATATATATATATATATATATATATATATATATATAAGTAGTACTGCAAGGATCGAGGAGGACAGTGTGGAACTTTTTCCAACAAAAAATAACTACTGTAAACTCAAAAAAAGAATGTCATTACATCAACAACAACCAAAACAATCAAATAGGCATATATCAACTCCTTGAAAATATTACATGCTCTATTTCTTTTCCCATTCTCAGTTGTATTAACTATTCAAGAGTCATCCAGGTCATCTAATCACAGAAGCTATTATGTAGGCCAAGGCCACCATTGATTGCCAATATTTTCATATTAGTCAGATCTCAATTTCACCTAATTTATGTTGAATGAGGAAGATATAAATGAGACAAACACCTGAACTGGCACTAATAAACATGAGCACAAATGGACTACTTAATCCGTTCAGAAGTAGTTATACAGGTAGAACACAGACAAACCTTAAAAATACTCCTGCAATTGTAATTCTGGTCAAGTTACTATCACTATCTCCCTTAGAAAGACTGGCCTGCGAAGATAATCAATCAAACAGTGATTCTTTCCCAGTGGAAGCCAGACATCATGGCATGGCATGGCATGGCAAAGGGACTATGAACAAAGCAAGAAGTGTATATTTGTAAATGGCCTTTGGAATTCAAATCAGCATATGGCGAATGTGCAAACCCATAGCATAAATTATCAAAGAAAATAAGTACTTGTAGGATTACAAGAATTATGTGTTATGGACATATACACATTGATCTATTTATAATCATGTACTTAATAGTTAAGGTAAAAATAAAATCCTTATGTATCTGCTATCCCTATTCACATTCAACCTAATCAAATCATATCTTCAATAATTAAATCATATCAACATTCCCTTCAAGTTGGAGCATATATGTCATATCATGTGTCAAGCTTATTACAAAATCAATGCGAGACCCTTTAAGAGATTTTGTAAGCATATCTAGCCAATGATTATTGGATCTAATTACAAATATAATCAATGCGAAAACCTTTCAGATATTTGTGAGCATATATGCCAGCTATCAAATCACCAATTATACCCTTACATACACGGTTTCCTGATACCCACGGAGAGGCGCATTATAGCACTTATATGCTTTTAGCCGGAATATTATTAAAAATTGGAGCATATGGGTTGGTTCGAATTAATATAAATGGGAGCATATGGGTTGGTTCGAATTAATATGGAATTATTATCTCGCATTCATTCTATATTTTGTCTCTGCTTAATGTTATTAGGTTTAATTCAATAATATATGCAGCTTCAACATTTCTAATAATTATCAAGTAAATTACCCGAGAAAATTGGAAGGACTGCACTAAAAGCTCAAGCTGGAACTCTGCAAGTTAATGCCAATTGTAGAATTATTTTCATGCTATGTTTACATGTAAAACTTATAACTATGCAATATTTTAAGATGATTGAAGGAGATATTAGTCAACTAACAATTGTTAAGGCTAAAGGCATACCAGAGTCTTTAAGGCAAAGAAATATATGGTCCACAACAATTGAGACAACAGAATGCCTGGCAGCTTCAGTTGATCGCTGTCATGATTGATTCAGAAACCCATAATAATACTACTGTTTTGTCTATAAAATACAACTGAAAAATAGTTTGCTTAAAGGAAGAAGTAGTTAACGCAACCTGCTGAGCCTTGACATCTACTTTTCCCCTATTTAGACAGATATTTAATCCTTGTATACAGCGGAGAAGCGCACGGAGTCCTGTTGATATAAGTTTTATCAACTTCATGTCACATCTTTGTCATTTATGTCAACTCAGTATGGATACTACAGGCGTGACAAATCTTCTTTTAGTTACCTGGTTCACTTAATGCAGGACAAACAGCTTCAGTGACATGAAACTGAACCTCAAGTCCAAATGGACTGTTCAGCTCAGTTCTCTGAACTGTGATCTAGTAATATAAAGTTCAAGCTGTATTTCATGAGTCATGACAACAAAATTCTAGAGAAAACAGACTATTCACTAAAACTAATTGGAGTAACTATATTCCTTACAAATGCTTCTCCTGATATTCCTTCTATTATTCGCCCGCCTCCAAACAATACTCTCTTTGCACTGTCATTATCTCTCAAGGTTGCTCCCTCTTGAGAGTGGCCTATAGTAGAATCCGTGAATATGTCAGGATGAGGCAAAAGATCAATAGACATAGATTCCCATTCTAGTTTCTGAAAAGAGGGAGGGGGAAGTAAGAATTATTAGGTGGTAATAAAAGATACAATAGTAACTTAACATCCTCAATACAGAAAAATGGAACAGAAACACATTGTGATGAAAGCATGAATGAAAATCTTCTAATGAGAAGAGAGATCTAATATATAAGAACAATATAAAGATAAGTCAATCTTCTTAATAAGGTTTCGTTTATTTAAGTTTTTTTTTTTAAGTTTTTGAAGAAAATTAATTTTAAGAACGTATAACAATTTCATATTTCAAGATTTTATTTAAAGCAACTATCTTTTTTTATTGGTTACATTGTAAAAAAATTATTTTTATCAAGATAGGATATAGTTACACTTTTTTTCCAGAAACTACTCAAAGTAGCTTCTCATAATAATCAGGAATTTAGTTTTTTGTTTATTTAGCTGTTTCAAAAGCTTGAACAAACATTATAAAATTCTTAAAAGAATTAACTTTTTTTTCAAAATTAAAGTGAACTTTTATGAAAAAAAAATGAGAAAAAAGCTCAAACCAACTGATACAAGAATACAAGCACAAAATTAAGAAAAAAAATGAAAAGGTATATTTAATTCTTATTAAAAAATGAAATAGTACTTTGAAGACGTATATATACTTCTTATTACTGGAGAATTCTCGTGCCTCTTTAAGATTTACAACCTGATAACAGAATAACAAAATCAATAAACTTCTCATTTGAGTGTCCTAATTTTAATTACAAGAATGAGTCTCATCAAAGTTACCTCCCAACTTTCATTTGTGGTATGCAATATAAGATTGTGTATGGTGATAGATGCCACAGGTGGTGTCCTACAACCAAAGATAGGGAACAGGCATGCTTATAAATAGATTTTAGGTGAAATATACAACAGGCTTTGAGTCAAATAGATATAGTCCATCAAGCTCTTACCCATAATTTGTGTTATAACATTTTCTATTGGGTACTGATCTTAGGTTGTAAAGCTAACTAGATCACCACCACTCCTATATATAAGAATTGTTGTCTTGTAAATAGGGAGAAGAAAATACATTGGTTGTAATACTTTCTCTCTTTTCATCTAATAACATTCACAGTCCCTTCTCTTACTGAATTCTTCGTGTATTTCTACACCTAGAAATGCTTCTTCTCCTTTCTCTGTTTTCCTTCTCTGTGCTGGTCTTTACAGTTATTACTGTTCGATTCTTTGTCCTTATCAAGTGGTATCAGTCTTGGTCGATTCTTGATGGCGGATGCTACTTGTAACGTTGTGGCTTTGAAAGAAATGGAAGAATGCTTGGTTGCGCGGCTTGATGCTCGAATGGTGGAACTTGTGAGATCCCTGCAACGTACACTAGCAGACTCTTTAAAAGACTGTCCAAGAAATTGTCATGCAATCTTCTTTTAATCAAAACCCAGTCATCTAATAGAATATCCGCTCAACGTCACACATCCTATTCAGGAGGAACAAGACTCCCGTGTATTGAATTTCCAAGATGTAATGGAGAAAACGTAGACCAGTGGTTGTATCAATGTGAGAATTTTTTCTCCATTATTAACACTCCAGTAGATATGCAGGTGCAATTAGCCATTGTGCACCCAGAAGAACGTGCAACTCTGGCAAACAGCCATGGCTAAACACATGGACTGTTGTTTAATTTCTTGGAAAGGCTATAGTGCGATGATAAGAGAAAGATTTGGTGATATCTGCCTTGATCCAGTGGCAGACTTTATGAAATTGTGTCATACCTCTACTGTTGAAGAATGCTATAATGATTTTGATATCATTATCAACAAGTTGAATCTAACGGAAGATTACACGGTAAGTTTTTTTTGGGCGGATTAAAAAAAGATATACAAATGATGGTGAGAATGTTTTAGCTCCACAATGTTGAAAAAGCTTTTTCATTGGTTATGCTGTATGAAGCTTCTAATTCTTCTGCTACAACAAACTCATCTTGGTCTTTTAACAAGAATAAAGGGATTTTGGGATCTAAACCCATCAATTCCGAAAAATCTAATGTCACTAAATATGTGGACAATAGTAAAAGTCAACCTCTACATTCCGCTAAAATCCTCATGCCTACATTCATGAATGATTGTCAGTCTAAAGATCTTTCTACTTTTGTGATGAGTTATACACGCCTGAGCACAATTTGATCCACAAGAAACTCCAACTTCATGTTATTGAAGCCCAAGATTTATCTGATCAAGACATCAATGAGCATGAACAACTTGTTGATCCACAAATTTCAGTGAGCGCGTTAACTGGAGTAACTAACTTTCGTACCATGAGGATTATTGGGTATCTCAACAAAAACTCTTTGCATATACAGTTAGATAGCGACAGTACTCATAATTTCTTAGATATTCAAGTGGAAAAGAAGTTGGGTTGCGTGATTGAAGATCGAGACCCTTTATCAGTAGCGTGGCATATGGCAATAAAATCATTATTTCATCCATGGTGAAAAACTTTTCTTGGAGGATATAGCAGACTACATTTACATCTGATGTTTTTAATTCCCCTAGGTTGTTGCGACCTTGTGCTTGGAATAGAATGGTTCGTAACGTTGGGAAAAATCACTTGGAATTTTAACAAACTAACCATGGAATTTATAGCCAATGGAAGCAGGCAGGTCCTACATGGGGTAACTACAAAGAATATTAAGACCACAGCAAAACAACAATTGATAAAGGCCATGGAAGGAGGGGTTCACTTATCTATGTTGCAATTATGTACCAACACGACTGGAATCTTACAATCTTTGGTGGTTCATGCTGAGTCACCATCAATTTCAACACCCATTCAACCAATTTTGATTGAATTTGAAGATATCTTTCACACCCAAATTAAGCTTCCACCTTTTCGCCCTAGTTTTGATCACACTATTCCATTGACCCAGGGCTCTAATCCCATCAACAAAAGGCCAAACACGTACACCAAATCCCAAAAGGACATCATAGATAAGTTGGTCAAAGACTATCTTCAAATAGGTATTATCCAACCCATTGTCGGCTCCTATGCTAGTCCTATTGTGTTAGTGGGGAAAAAAGACGGTACTTGGAGATTGTGCATGGATTATAGAAATCTCAACAAGAATACGGTTAAGAATAAATTTCTCATACCTCTGATGGATGATTCATTGGATGAACTGCACGATTCTTCCATTTCTCTAAAATTGACTTGTGGGCTAGATATAACAAAGTGCAATGAATCTTGATGATGTGCACAAGGCTGCATTTAAAACTTACGCTGGCCATTATGAATATGTTGTTATGCCCTTTGGCTTACCAAATGCTCCAGCCACTTTTCAAGGGTTAATGAATTCAATCTTTCATCAATTCCTTAGAAAATTCCTTCTAGTCTTCTTTGATAATATCCCCTTATACAGCAAAGATTTACATGACCACTTACATCACTTGAGGCAAGCTTTTTTAACATTAAGGGAAATTTCATTATTTGTCAAACATTCCAAGTGTTTCTTTGTTATTAATAGAGTAGAATATTTGGGACATTTTATTTCTAAAGAGGGAGTGTCTACAAATCCTACGAAGGTTGAAGTTAAGGTAAATTGGCTAGTACCTCAGACCATCAAACAGTTGCGAGGTTTCTTGCGATTAGCAGGATATTACCGCAGGTTTGTGAAAGGGTTTGGATGGATAGCTAAACCATTAACGGAACTCTTAAAAGAAAGATGGCTTCCATTGGACAGTAGCAGCAACACAAGCTTTCAATCAACCAAGGAAGCTTTGACAATGGCACCAGTGCTAGCTTTGCCAGATTTTCAAAAGAAATTTGTGGTGGAAGTGGATGCCTCTGGAATGGGTATAGGTGTTGTTCTAATGCAAGACCAACACCCTATCACTTTTATAAGTCGAGCTCTAAACTTATAGTAACAACCTTTCTCTACTTATGAAAAAGAGTTACTGGCAGCAATCTTTGCAGTACAAAAATGGCGCCACTACTTGTTAACCACTCAATTTGTGGTTTGTATAGATCACTATAGTCTCAAATATTTGTTAGACCAACGCCTTACCACAGTATTCCAGCAGAAATGGTTAGTCAAATTAATGGAGTTTGACTTTACCATCGAATATAAGCATGGCAAGGAAAATGTTGTAGTCGATGCTTTATCAAGACAAGGCACATTGGATTGTAATGCCCTTATTATACACCAAATGAAACCAGAACTGTCCCAGAAAATACATCAAGCTTATTTGAATGATCCTCATATACAACGGCTAGTCCAAAAATTGCAGGCTACTCCTAGTTCTCACAAGCATTATCGTTGGATTAATGATGAATTATGCTAGAAAGGAAGATTGGTTGTAAGGTACGATGCTGATCTACGCAAAACCATCCTAAACTGGCTTCATTCTTCACCGTTAGGGGGACACTCGGGCATAAATGCTACTATGCAGCGAATTAAGTATATTTTATATTGGAAGGGCATGACTAAGGATATAAAGACGTTTGTTAAGCAGTGTGAAGTATGCAAGCGCTCAAAACATGAAATAGTAGCTTCTCTTGGCTTACTGCAACCGTTACCCATTCCAAGCCTTGTATGGCAAGATATTTCTATGGACTTCATAGAAGGATTATCTAGTTCCGGAGGTAAGCAAGTCATTTTCATTATGGTGACAGATTGAATAAAGCCGCTCATTTCATGACCTTAGCTCATCCTTATATAGCCAAAGACGTAGCACAAACATTCCTGGATAATGTTTTCAAATTGCATGGATTTCCAAGTACAATAACTAGTGACCGCGATGTTGTGTTTATTAGTACATTTTGGAAGGAATTCATAGCATTCCAGGGGGTGCAGCTACAACTCTCCTCAATTTACCATCCTCAATACCGAAGTCATGAACAAATGTTTAGAAACATATCTCAGATGCATGTGCTCCGATTCCCCATCACAGTGGAGTAATTGGTTGCCTTTAGTTTGGTACAACACCACTTAACATACCTCTCCAATACAACTCCTTATGAGATTATTTTTGGACAGCCACCACCAATTTATCTTCCCTATTTACAAGGGGAATCAAAGGTGGACCTTGTTGATAGGAGTTTAGCTAAAAGGGAAGAAATGCTAAAAGTTCTTAAATTTCATTTAAGAAGAGCACAATATCGAATGAAACAAAATACGGATAGACATAGATTGGATAGAACTTATAATATAGGGGACTTAGTTTATGTTAAATTACACCCCTATAGACAAATTTTTGTAGCACAGAGAGTTAATATGAAGTTGTCTCCCAAACTCTTTGGGTCATTTCTCATTATTGACTGAGTGGGAGGTGTTGCATACAAGTTGCAGCTACCGGAGTCTTCACGCATTCACAATGTTTTCCATATCTCGCAACTAAAGAAACATGTGTAACCTGCAATAGTAGCTTCTACACTTCCTTTAGATACTGAGGATCAGTCCAAGCACAAAGAACCAGAGACTATTCTGGACCGCATGACAGTCAAAAGGAAGGGGATGGCCATAACAAAAGTTTTGGTTAAATGGAAGCATCAGCTGCCAGAAGATGCTACTTGGGAATTCTTTTATGATTTGAAACAGAGGTTTCCATTCTTCAAACTAACATTTTCTATTGGGTACCAGTCTTAGGCTGTAAAACTAATTACATCACCGCTCCTTATATATAAGAATTGTTATCTTGTAAATAGGGTGAAGAAAATACATTGGTTGTAATACTTTCTCTCTTTTCATCTAATAACACTCGGAGTCCCTTCTCTTACTGAAGTCTTTGTGTATTTCTGCACGTAGAACTGCTTCTTCTCTCTTCTCTGTTTTCCCTCTCTGTGCTGGTCTTTACGGTTATTACTGCTCTATTCGTTGTCCATATCATAATTTACCCCACAAAATGACCTACTACATCTATGCTAATACAGTACTATCACTTTTCAATTTATATAGATTTATAATAATAATTGAGAATCATTTTAGGGTAAAAATGTACTAAAGATTCTACCCAATTCAGAGCTCCAGTAAAAATAACTTACCATGTTTCTCCTCCTTGGCAGCAAGAACTTCCACGAGTTTCGAGTAAGAGATTAACCACACGAATCTGTACAGTCATTCCATCTGCAATCTGATGGTTGTCCAGGGTTAATAGAAATCACAAACATTAAAACTAATCTTCTATATACTTAGTCAAATAAGATTTGCTAGAAACTACCAACTCTTAACGTAATCTTCTCTCTACTTAGTCAAATAAATAATAAATTCTCCCTATTCTAAGGAAATTATCTCTGCCTACGGCTCCATAAAACTCCATGGTTGATAGAAGAAACCTATATGTTGATTTGGTCTCTAAAAGTTTGTGTGCATACAATTTGTCCCTATATCTGTCAATTTTAGTCCTTCGCTATCAACATAGTGCCGGAATTTGTCAACTTCATGACCTGTTAGTCCTTGAAATTCTTAACTTGATCTCCATTTTGATCATGTTCATGTTGAAAGGAATACTTTTCCATGAATTGAACAAATGCAAAGCCAATTGTATACATGCAAACCTTTACAGACCAATCAATCCAAATTGCCACTTTCAGGGACAAAATTATATTTTATTCTTATATATTATATTACTAAAAATTCTCCTGGAAAGTAGCAACAGCTTCAACATATGGAAAATAGGAAAAACTGACTAGTTCCCTAAATAAATCAAATTCCCCCCAACTGTGTCAAAAGAGTTCTTGCTTTTCTCTCCCCCTCATTCCACTTAGAAATTTACAACTATTGCATGATTAATAGTACATGGATGTTACTTACTCATACAAATAATTTACACTTAGAAAGACTCAGACCTTATCACCAAAACCATAGCCGCTACCCTTTGAGGAGGCACTTGATGTCGTGCGACTGTGAACAACAAAGTAAGAAGCAAGGATAAAAAGAAATTAAATAAGTAGCAGAAAAGGCATCACTCTCCAACAAGACTCCTCACAAAATCATTGACAAAACACTAATTTCACTACCTGGTTGGATTTTCAGATGGCTGAAAATTAGAATTCTCTTCAAGAACCAAATTTAGCCTATCAACTTGCACGATGATCGGCTCTATCTGTACATTGCTCAAGGATGGCAGCTAGACACACACTGAACTTGTTAAGAAGTCGTACAAATTCATTTGTGTATATATGCATACATAAACCAGAGTTATAGGGGGAATTCATATACTCGGTCTTAATTGCAATCCTCTATATGACATGGGATTAAGCAGAATATCAAACATGTTATTGAAAATTCCACTTGACAGATTGGCAATGGAAACAAGGTTAGTTTTTGGCTGGATAAATGATTATCTACTACTATTGTTGACCGACTTGAGATTCCTCGCCATCTGCATACCAGATTGAAAGCAAAGGTGGCCTGTTTTATCCTGAATCAGCCATGGATCATTCCTCCTATTTTTAGCTCTAATAACCCTGATCTGTCAGATGCTATTACTGAGGATAAAGTAAGATGGAACAGTGCTGTTCATATGGTTCTCACTCTTAAATCTGCATACCTATTTCTTTGGCCCAAGCCTAATCTTCCAATTTTCTCAGCTTTCATTTGGAGTAAACTTATACTTCCTTCAACTTCTTTTCTGATTTGGACAATCTATCATAATAAATTTCCTACTTTCCTACTGGAGATAACTTAATCAAGCAAGGCATGATGATTGTCTCTCATTGTCATCTCTATGGAGCTTCTGCTAAGACTGCCCAGCGCTTATTCTTTGACTGCACTTTTGCTAACCGATTTTGGGTCTTGCTTAGTAACCTTTTTCATTGTCATGTAACAGCTATCTATTTCTTCTATTTTAGAATTCTTACAAAGGTTTGGACTGCTCAAACTAGAACTGTTGTTATCTTTATTTGGTATCTTGAAGGTCATATGGTCAGGCAGAAAAGAAATAAAGTCTGCTTTAATAGCTTCTTTCCAGGTTATCCAAATCTCAAACACTCCATATATGTTCAGGCCAATTGAGCTGGGAACTATTATAGGGGCTGTATTAAATCTACTCTTCAAGAACTCATTATTCTTAAAAGCTTTGGATTTGATACCTAGCTAATTTTCATATTTTTAAAAATTTTACAGTAATTTTCATATTTTTTAAAATTTGTTTTAAATTTGTTATTTATAAAAAATAATTGGTACCTAGATATAGAAAATTAGAAATACATCTAATTGATGAGTAAAACAATAAGAATATTCTATTTTATTTAATTGATCACTAAAGGCTACAACATTTATCATCTCATTTTGCTTGGAGTGAACATCAACATTAATTCCATAAATTACAATTATCAGTCATTTTAGTCCCTCAAATTATAATCATGGGACATTTTAGTCCTCAAATGGAGGAAAAATAATGAAATTAGAAACTACCCACCAATTTTTATTTAATGGTAACCATGGAATTTGTATGCTCCTAGTAGAGTATGTTCTTCCCGTTTATTTCATACGAAAAGTGACATAACAAGGAATCGAAACCTAGACTTCTTTTTATGACCCATCAATTTAATCCTTGACTTTGGAAGTTCTCATTCATTTTAACCCCGAACTAATCAATTTGATCCCTTATTTGACTTTAAAAACCATATTGGCCATGGTTATCAAATTTAGATTATAAATTAACTGATGGGCAATGTTGGAACAAAAGTTACTAGTGCTTCAAATTGGCAACGTAGACTATGAAACTGCTTTCACAAAATCACCAAATTCACCACCAGTGCGTAATTCAAGATTCGTTCTACTTGTGCATTGTGATTCTGAAGAACCAAACGTCAGAAAGAGCAAAATTAATTAGTGAGAGTGACAATCGACAAACCATGATCTCCAGTTTGCCAACTTTGGCGGTGGTGACACTAAGCGCTGGTGGAAATCCAATGCTGGAGTGCACCGCATCCCCATCCAAATCTGAACAAAAAACACAAAATTCAAAATCGATACAAATACCAATCACCACAGACCTAATTCAAAATTGACAAAACGAAAAAAGAGGAAATGAAATATAGAATTAACCTAGATTGGAAAGCTGAGCGGTGCGACCCTGCAACTTGAACTGATCTCGTGAGAACGATTTGAGCCAGTACTTGAGAGTGTACTCCAGAGCTTTGCACATGATCGACTCCATGCCTGAGCTTCGGTCCTGGGTTCGGATCGAGCTTCGGGAAAGCCCTGAACGAGAAGCTTCAAATAAAATTCTCCGAGAAATTAGTTATGACAGAACCGTCATTGACAATGTGGCCATTGCACAGATCGCGATGCAGTGTAGTGTGCCGTGAAAATGGCAAAACGAAAAAGGCATTGCTTAAACGGGTTTGGGTCAGATCATTCGGGTCAGAGAGAATTTGGATTATTTTTTTGAGAGAAAATGGAAAATTGTGGGTTGATGCGGCAAAACCACGTGCCGGAAGATTCTGTGTGTGCAGGGTGGAGCGGTGAGGGAGAAGGAGATACGTGTGGCACGTGCGAGTGGAAGTTAGTTAAATTTTAGCGGGAGAAGAGAGAGATGACTTTAAGCGGTCAAAAGTCAAGATTCGGTGGGGCCCTTTATGGCCAATTACAAATACGATATGTTGATGACTTAAAAGTAATTTAGAATTAGTTATTAAACATTAATTATTTGTAAATGTAAAAAATCAATAATTTATTAACAATATAAAACTACTCTCACTTTTTACTTTATTTAAATTAGATTTTATGGTTTTATTGGAATGAGAAATATAGAAATACATAATTTATGATGGTGAACTATAATTAAATACTAATATTATTTAAAACTAATAATATATATCCATTTCAACAAATGATTCTTCTCTTTAATTTGTTTTTTTCAATTTTAATTTCTTTAACAATGTATTTGGATGGTAAATATTTAAAAAATAATTATTTTTTACATAAAGTTTGAAATGTTTTATAAAAAATATATATTATTCTCGTTGGTTCGACATTTTTTTAATTGATGTCTTCAATAGTTTCATTCAAAGTAAAGTCGTGATTATTTTTTAAGGATTAAATATGTTTATTTTTTTATTAAATTTGACATTGTTGTATTTAAAAAATATTAATTAGTTCCCCAATTTATGAAAATATATTATTCTGATATTTTTTATACTTAAATTTATTATTTAATGATCAATTGTTTAGGCTAACATTAAAAAAATTATGTGGTCGTAAATTCTTTTATATCTAAATTTAATATTTAATAATTATTTTATTATTATAAAGTTGATAAATAATTAAATTTATATATTTTTCAAAATTTGAAGATTAATATTTTTTAAATATAGGAACTAAAATCAAATTTGTCAAAAAAATATATATATAGGAAGTAGAGACATATTTAACCATTTTTTAACTAAGGATAATTTTCTGGTAATGTATTTTAGTATTATTTCTTAGCTTAGTTAGGATTTTTTTTATTTATAACTTTAGTTATATTTCTTAATTAAGGTTAAATATGATTTTTTTTTTTTAAGTTCTATGGAGTTATTTTAAGTTGTGATTTTTTTTTTTTTGGCAACATATAACAAAGTTATTTCTCCATCAATCTTAATCATAGATAGGATTTTTTTTCAATCAATATTTGTAAGATTATTTTTCAAAAAATAAATTGATAATCCAGGGAAATTTTTTTATGATAGAGAAAATAAGCATTATGGTGTCAGAATTTTTTTATTTACATGAAAAATGGTTTACTTAAAATGAAAATTAATAATTTAAACTTTATGATTTTGTTATACAAACTCTGAATGAAGATTTCATAACACAGAGAACGAATTTTTATTAGAGAATTTCGTATCAGATCACATAGTCCAAAAGGCAAATAACAACATATATATTATAAATTTTGATAATCTTATAAGAATATTTTTGGTTGCACATATAATAAAACAATTTTAACATATAATAATATTAAGTCAAAATTGGCTACAAATGTCATTATTGTACTCAAAAGTTTTGAAAATACTATCTAGATTTCTTTTTTCTTTTTTCTTTTCATAATTAATGTCTTCCTTTGCTTTTAGTGATTACTCCAACCTTCGAGTTAAATACTCTTTTATTTCACTTTTTTCTTAAATACACTTTTATTTTTGGCTATACAAATACGTTATTTTTATTTGAAGTCTCAAATAAATATGTTACTTTTAATTTCAAAGTTTATAAAAATATAATTTTATATTTTTACTTTTCTCTAACATATTGATTTTTTTTATAATAGTTAATGATTTTATAATTGATGACATTAATAATATTTAGTCGACAATTTTATTCAAATAATATTATGATATGATTACTAGATTTTCTTTTTTAAAAAAGTTATCATTAGATACTGAAGCATAAAATATTTAGAAAGAAGAAATAAAAATAAATAAATTATCTCCTATATTATATTATATTATTATGAGAAAAAAAAAGTTAACTAGTTAAAAAAATTAATATTTATAAGTTTGATTTAATGGGAAAATTGATTATGTGTGTGTAAAGAAGACATTTATTATATTAAATATAGTTTGTTTGTTTTTTTTTTAATTACATATTATGTTTCACTTTCCATTTTCATATTATTGTTCCTCATCCAAAACATTTATCGTCAAATTTTGAAGTTTTATATCTCTAAGTATTAAAAAAAATTCTTATTCTAGAATCAAATACAAATTAATACATTCTACTAGAACTACTATCCCGACAAATTTTTACTGGACCTTGAACATAATCTTCTATTAAAAATATCCAAAACCTGTGTCAAGTAGATTTTTCTTTGGATTTTTCTATGTTTCAATCCCTCTGCGTCATTTTTATTGATTTCTTAGATCATCTGAATGAAAAATGATTTCTTAGAACATGTATATAGAACGATGATATAGTCTCCTGCAGTCACACTCTTAAAAGTTGAGTGGGGTGAATGATAATTTAAACGATATCTTTTTTAAAATAAAATCGTAATAAACTAGAATTTAAAAATATATAATATATCGAAAATTTTACGTTATCATATAATCATTATGTCAAACTTGCAAACATGTTGGATTTTCTGTTTATATGTCATATAAAATGAAGTTTGCATCAATATGTAATTTATATCTTTAATTGATTGATGATGATTTATGATATATTTTTATCCATTACAAAATATATTTTAAGAAATTGATATAAAATGAGGTTTAAAATTAATTATATATTTTAATTTGATTATATAGTAGATGAATATGATTTAAGTATTTTTAATAGAATCTATCATTTGTAAAATTAAAAAAAAAACACCATTTAATCATAATACATTTTTAATAAAAAATCTTAAATTTTAATATTTAGATAACTATTTTTCAGAAGTATTAGCATGGGTATTTTTTACTAATAAAATACATATAGATTATATAAAAAAAGAAAAAGTCGAAATATATTAAAAGAGAAAATTAAAAAAAAAATTAGTGAATAAAACCACATGTATTTCTTTTATTGTTTTAGTTATAATCATAATATATATTATTTTTAATAAAAAATCTTAATTTTTAATATTTAAATAATTATTTTTCAGAAATATTAATATGGATATTTTTTTACTAATAAAGTACATATAGATTATATATATATATATATATATATATATATATATATATATATATATATATATAAAGTTAAAGCATATTAAAAAAAAATTCAAAAAACGAGTTTAGTGAATAAGAACACATGTATTTCTTTTATTGTTTTAGTTATTATTTGTACTTATATAGTCTAAAATTATTGGGTTGATTAACTGTATTTATTGACCTAAATTATATTATTTTTATTTATTTTGTTATTAATTATCTTTATTTTATTATAATATATTATATTAGTTATTATTTTATGACTATCAACTATTATATTTCAGTACATTGTTATATTTTGAATACTACATAAAGATGTAATGAGGGAATAAACTTCACCTCATAATTCATTCTCGTATATAATAATCTATTGTTTAAAAGTTGACTTGAGCGTCGAAGTTCTTTTTGCAGGTGGGTCTCTATGTTTTTTTGGCGATCATTTTCAAAGTTGGTTTCAAGATCGGTCAATCGACTTCATCTTCCAGTCTTGTCAATCATCTTCAGCCCGACGAACATCTTGTCAACCATCTTCAGCTCGTTAAGAACATTTGGCGCTCATCGTGGGACCCAATAAAACGTTCCTCACGATCTCTCTCATCCTATGGTTCTAATCCGTAGTTAGACGATGTCCAACCTCAATAACATGGATCCCTCAAAACAATGCTAAGCTACTTCAGATCCAACAGAAAACAACAAAAAAATTGAAAGCAATTTGGAAACAACATAAAACAATTCAACAAAAGGTGGTCGACGAACTGCAGTTGATCAAGAAACAACATCAAACTAAGTTCCAGACACTGCATAAGAAATGAAACGTTACTCCAACAACTACAAATAACTAGGTCAAATACGCACAAAGAAGAATCGTAACATCACGTCAACCAACTGAACAGTCCTTAGCCTTGACCAACAAAACAAGTTTGAAACTTCGAGATCAAGAACAACCTAAAGCTTCCGCCTAGGGAGCGGGCATTCCACATAAACCAAGTGGTAGACCTCCAAAAGAATAACCTAAAGCTTGCGCCCAAGGAGCGGATATTTCACCTAAACCAAGTGGCAGATCTCCGAACTCTAGGAGGATGGATCATTCAAGGGAGCAAGAAAGGCACAAACACACTAACGAAGTCACACCTCGGCTCTCGCCTTCGAAAGAACCTACCATACAAGCTCCACCTCGAGCCCAACCCACACAAACCCAAAGAATCAAAATTTAAGAGGAGGACAACGACCACCAATTTGTCTCATGAATCAAGCAAACGCCTCTCCCACTTAATTGAAAATCTTTAGACATAGGAAAGTACGACGATAGACCCCGAGGAACATTTGGCTATATACAAGGCACATGTAAAACTGTATACCAACAGTGGAGCCATCCTCTGTCGAGTGTTTCCCACCACATTGAGAGGAGCAACATTACGATGGTATAATTCCCTACCATATATTCGTACTATACACTGGTAGAACGATTCTGAGTTAGGTTTGCGGCTAATAATATACACGAAGCTACATCAGTAGCCTTGGAAGGCGTGAAACAAGGTGA